ACACTGCACCCTTAGGGGCTTGCCTCATTCCTCCATTGAATGGTCGCTCGAACCCTTTTGAGGGGTTAATGGATGGGCAGGGAGGAAGTGTGGTGGGCCGGGAACCCCGAGACCCCAGAAGAATCCTACATGGAAGCCGGTAACTGCAATTCCTTCCGAATTTCAGGATTCCGTGAGCCTGAATGCTTGGTCAACACCGCATAACTTTTGGATTTTTCCCTCAGCACATTTTTTATTCATGTCTCTGGGTGCAGAACCCACAAGGCAATTTTCTAGGTCTGAATACAGTGAGCTATTGCCGAGTGTCCCAACAATTTCGTCCAGGACTGTAGATGGCTACAATGCATTTAGTGCGTGACTCCTTATGAAAGGGAAAGCAAAACGAATTGTTCATTTATGTACATCCCAACAGTTCCGGGAGGGTTAGACTGAAAACCAGAAGGAAATGAGAGATTAAAAAAATGTACGGTTCAGTCACATAAACAACAAGACGCAGTTCGAATTTCACTATCTAACCTGTCAAGTTAACAATTACGACCTATATATCTGCTGCGATGGAAGACACTCCAACATACGGCAGCATCAGCATTGCCACAGTGTATGACGACGTATCGGCCTGCTGTCGTTACAAACGTCACAGCGGTGGCGTTTGTTCCTGACTATGAGACGCAACTTTCAAATATGAAATTCCCTCAATCCTATGATTATGACAATCCGTATAGAGACGGTTGCTGAAGGTTTTCCAAGAAATTGTCTCGAAAATTTGTACCTCTCTGAATATTCGCACACTTGACAACTGTTTGAAAGTTTCCATACAGACGCTATCTTTGGTGAAGTTTTCGAATCGATTGGAAAGCAATTTGGATTTTTATAGAGAGCAGCATTTATCATCTCTTCGCATTTTCATAAAGGAACTTTTACAATAAATTATTACACGTTTCTTACATCTAAGCCGTGCCAAGAAAAAGAGCTTCATCATAATTGTTATTTAGGTATCTCTTACAGCAGAGTTGCAGTCGAGTACTTTCCTGGTATCTAGTTTACTGCCAGAGATTAATATTATCTTGAGTAGACAAATGCACAATACAGACAATGGATAGTTAATACTGTCTAAACGAAATTCAAAACTTTGGACACCTAGAGAATCTTGTGCGAACTAAGATTTATTTTTGCCAGAAGGCCCATTTGCCGGTCACTTGGGTGGTACTGTTGTCCTCGCTTGAAGTTTACTATAAAGATTCCCTTCAATTTGTTTACATTAAACACATCACATTTCATAGTACTGAATAAAGCCAGATTCCCCGGAACTGCAATGCTAGAATTTGACTTAGAAGGATGTTCTTACCTTTTCTGACAACTTTCGGTTGAGATACTTGTTTAGATTTGCTGTCCGATCTTCGTTATTTGTGACAGTTGTTGGAGATCCAATTGTGTCGCTGTGACCCAGGACAAGGTGAGCAAATAACTAAATTTCAGCCTGATCAAATTCACAAAAGTGCAACGGATAAACGGAGAGTTTGTAATCCAGGTCGACTGGATGGAACACTCGTGCTCGTCTGCTGCCGGAACAGTGAAATCTATGCCCCCGCGCCTGTCCCGTCTGAAGCAAAGTGATTGGCTAAAACACTCTGGGTGACTGGCATTACGTCAGTCTTTATGTACTTGCCCTTATTAGGTAACTAAACTTGTACTTTCAGATTAATGTTGTCACTGAAACTAACATAAATTTGGTGCTGTGGCAAGTTCCCATATCAGTATCATTTGAAACGAGGTTGTGCAAACATTTGTCAAAAGAGTGTGACGAAAATGTTGCTGAGGCTACATCTTGCCAAAAAATTGAAGGCAAACTTTTTAAACAACATGGATTTTTGGGGGGGATGACTTCCTTGCCGGCGCCATTCATTACCTGGAGGCCAAAACCTAATTTTCTGGTAGCCACCACCTTATTTCTTACGCCTGCCACTTATGGAGCAGTTCGTAGTTGAGTACATTTAAAATTTAAAATTCTGTAATTTTCTTCGGTTACGTAGACTAAAACTACCCGAAGATAGATGGCTTCTACTGGACAGTTATGGCGGCTAGAATATCGTGTCTCTGAACAAAAGTATTCGAGCGTTGCATGAAGTTAGTATCTTATCCTTTGCACTAACCGGCTTCTATGGGATGTGGCCAGCGTTTACCTAACAATAAACAGATGTACGAGGAAGAATACTGAACTAAGCTTTTCAGTGTTACGTCCTTCTGCCGTGTACTCAGAGAAGCCAATCAGAAACCAACAACCCGTACACCATAATCTGCACAGGTTCATGTGCGTTTAATGCGGAACAAGAATGTACGGTCTTCACGTGTATATATGGCATGCAAAATTGGCATTTAATCTGAACTAGAGGTATCTTTATTGTTTTAACAGAGATATCTCAATAGAAATTTTGTCTATTTCTAATAGAGATATCTCTGTGGTTAATACAGATATCTCTATTTGCAATATTTAATTGTCAGAGATATCTCTATTTTATTTCCTGTTTTGGATGCCCTATGAACTCTGGGGTCATGGGGACGAAATTTAGAAAGCCAGGGGCCTTACTGGGTGGTTGTATGAAGCAGAAATGCCATGCATTTGTATAGGCGGACTGAGCTCTGTGTGAACCAAAGATTGTATGGCGCCGCGCAGTGGCGCTATACAATCTTTGGTGTGAACCACAGACATATAAACGCATAGACCGCCAGTCTTGCGCGTATAACCATGATTTTGAAAAGTATGGGCAAACGATGGGCGGAACGGTGGATGACAGCGCGTTCAGTGCGCAGTACGCGCAACGCACTTATATTGCCTGTTATTTGTTTACATGTTCTTCCAAATACGTTCACCTTTTTTGCTCTTCAATACAGCTATCTCTTCTTTTCAACTGTTGCAACCGCATTTTTTAAATCCCTATGGGCCAGATTAAGTAAATAGAGGGGACTTTTTACAATACAAACATGGCTTCATAGAATTTTATGGCTGGAATTCTTCAACTGTGCGTAAATTCCCTATACCGAGAGTGAATTAGCCCCGAGTTTTGATTTTAGTCGGGTGCCGCGCAGATCACGAAAAACCCCTGTAGTTTTGATTAGGACCTGGCGGTCTATGCGTTTATATGTCTGTGGTGTGAAAGCAGTTGAGGGGCGCTCTGGTGCCCCCTAGATGACCAAGTTTTCAAACCACAATCACACGACTCCAACCTCTAGAAGCGGAAACGGAATGGAGATATCTCTATTTTATGATTGATTAACTTTGCATTATACACGTGTCTGTGCTGGGTGCTTGCACAACACCCTTCCAGGTTCTGGCCGTATATGTATCTTTTGTCAAAGCGAACATGTATACTGGGTGTAGCCCAATTCAAGGAACCGAAAACAAAACGTCCAGAACAACTGGTCTGGTAACGCTGAGGGTCATGGGTTAAAAAGTTGAACATGGGTATGCATGCCAGTACGCGCGCATTACTATTCATACATTAACAATGGGTGCGTTCGATTAGCTTACACGTGTAAGTCAAACTTGCACGAGAGCGTTCGTTTAGCCATCACGTGATGTTCGTGACTGCCCTGGTGTCAGCCACCACTACCCCATCTGGCGAGCGGGTCTCTGGAGGCTGCCTGAGTGTAATGACGTCACGGATGGACTGTTCGAGCATGAACGTACATGATGGAACGTGGCGGGGACTTGACCTTTTTCCCAGAATGCCTTGGAAAACACACTGCAGCGTTCGATTAGCCTCATTTCGAGGCTTCCCTTGTTGGAACGCTGGTGTATTAAGGAAAGCTAATCGAACGCACCCAGTGCTTCGCAGTGCGCTTATACGCGTTCGCGCGATACGCACACAACAATACGCATGTGTGTGAGCGGAATAAAGTTTCCTGAGATTTCCAGGAGAAGCTGAGCAAATGGACCCGACTGTGTTCGAGACCGGGGCCGTTTTCCAATACTCGACTTGGGATCCGTCTCAGGCTTCAACTGTTTTGTACTTCTTGACTTTGAGGTTATAAGCGCAGTAGTAAGTCTGGTAGTGCCACAAAACATCAATTAAGGTGCAAAAGAACCAAACATTACAGTACTTCAATTTGAGTTAAACGCTTCAGGCCCACAGAGGATTGGTTTCCTACTCGAAGCCTGAGACGGAGACGAAGTTGAGTATTGGAAAACGGCCCAGGATTCTGTTGGATAGGAACGCCCTCGTCTGTAGATCCATCGCATCGTACAGTGCCACCCGCGCAGGGCGGCAAGGAACACACGACACCAAAACAGTCCAGGCAGTGCTCCAGTGCAACCCAGGTTAGTGAACTTCCCAAGAGCCTATCTCTTCTTTTCCATTGAGAATGTTCGTCTTCTCACATACAGCGTCTAGCCATGATAATAATAACGACGCTTTACACATAGTATGGGCGATTCACAATAGTGCGCCACCAAGAGTTTGCGACGCGTTGGCCAATCACAACGCACGGAATTCGTCGACCGTTTCCAAACGCGCACTGGGTCGACAGATTTCGAGCATTGTGATTGCCCAACGCGTTGCAAACTCTTGGTGGCGCACTATTGTGAAACGCCCGCAGTAACCCAGTAACAGATCAGTAAACATGTTCAGTACGACACAAAATATTTCTGGAGCCATTTAAACAAGTATAGTACCGTAACAAATGACTACCAAAGAAACTACACCAGCTGCAGCACTACCTGAGGGTGTTTAACGAAGGTTACTTCGGAAACGATGCAGCTTCGATGACAAACTAATTCGGTGTTTTACCAAACAATTGCAGATGGCGGGATTACAAAAGGTGAACAGGTTTGATAGTGACCAATACAGTGTTGTTTCCGGACTAGCGCCTAACTGTCACTTGAATGAACCCTCACCGTTACGTGAAGGCTATGTGCGCTACGGTTACTGCGATTATAACACGATCCAGCCTCTTCACGAGTCATCCGAGAGGCGATTACTGGTCTGGTCCACAGGTGAGAGATCTCAAGTCTACAGTTGCTATGATAGCTGCTAATCTCAGTTGAAATTGGTAACAGGGTATTTGAACGTGCATATCACACACTGCGTATGTCGACCTTTCTCTTGCCACCCTCCAAGCCATAAAGCCATAAGTTTTGCACAACAGTAAACCATGGCCGACCAGCTTTACGGCGGGAAGTAAGAAAATTATTTTTTTACTAAATCGCTGAAGATATTTCACACAGCAATTCAAGTACAATGAATATGACAAATCAATGATTGCTAAAAGAAAATTCCCTTCTTTAGCACAAATGGAACAAAATGCGCCACTTTGAGGCTATAGCTGCGTGCTGTCATCCAAAGACAGACATTCTTTGAATTTCGGCGGTCAATGTTTGCAAACAGAAAAGTTTATAAATTGAAACTCGCACAGCGCCCCCAACGATTGAATGTTCACGCGCCGGGTCCGTCGCCGAAATATCAATGTTCCCTTTTACAATGCAGCAAAGTGCCTTGAACAAAACTGCGTGCTTTCAGAAGAGGTACAAAGTTCATTATGCGTAACCCCAAGAATATTCGGAGTGATTACGAATTCAGCTTGCGCATAATGCAAAACTAGCATCGGAAATGACGGAAAAATACTTCAAAGTTCTCATAATCGGCGACCCGAGAACGGGCAAGACAAGTTTTATGAGACGCTACGTTGGCCACCAATTCACTGACAACTACATCGAAACCCAAGGATGTGAGTATGGATATTCTGCACTTTAAGGAAACGATTGTAGGTCCAGGAAACCTTGGCCTTGGCCCAGCGTCCCCCGTCCCCAGTCCCCCCCCCCCAGTTTTCAAGCTTCCCGCCCTTACCTCATTACTTTTTTTCAAAACCATGCTCTTTTCGGGGACACTGCTCATTTTCGTCTAAAAAAGAAACTAAACGTTTAGATTTCTTTGCGAAAAGTTTCAAGCTACCTATAATTTCGATCTAACTCACGGTGTTTTAAAGAATCCGTATTTATCTGGCACCGCAAAATTCCTTGCTAAACATCTTGGCATAACAGCGATGGCTGATCGAGAGCTGACTCCGGAGCATCTTCAAAAGTTACAAAAGGAAAAGGACCAAGCAAAAGCATGCATATGAACCACAAAAAAATCCAATCAAAGAATGCTGAACAAATATTCTATCCAGGTTTTCTTCTAAATTGCAAATAATGATGTGGGTTCAATGTCAAACAGTTACACAGTTGATGCCTTCGGCAACGAACATGGACACAGTCTATACTTGCGTTGCATGTGAATACTTTTTAATCATTTTGAAACTCTTAATTTTCTTCGATCCAGGCGACTTTGGTCTTAAGAGGATTCGGAGGTCTCCCACGGAATTAGTGGGACTCCACATATGGGATATTGCAGGTATGAGTTCGTTCTTACGTGAAGTGGGCCAGAGTTATGCTGCCTCGTCTGCTGAAATTTCTGAGGGTTCAAAATTTCAACACGAAAACTTGTATACGGCATAAATAGTGTCTTCCCCGATCTATATTACAACATACCCTTACCCCCCGGAAATGTTTGGATATTTGTTTAGAAAGTTTTAGAAAGTAAATTGTAGATACACTTAACTCTAGAAGGATTTCATACAGTGTGTATAATTATTGAAGAATTAAAGAGGCATAAAAGTGACTGGTGACTGCCCCCCCCTCTCAGGTATGCCCCGCCCTTTCTGACAGCCAACAGTTAGTTTTTGCTTGCACGTCAACGGATTCGTGTGAAATCTAACCTTCGACAAAGATCTCACTTTAAAAAAATCAGGAAAGAAAAAAAAAAACAAGTGGGCTGGTTTAAAATTTTGCCCAACGATGGTCAAAACATAAACAGCCTAAATTTCTGTGAAATTCCTCTCATAATTGCTGAAATTTTACAAACCAAATGATATTTAGCACATTGCCTTTTCACAGTGTTGGTTCGACAGCAAACATGATCCTGAAGACTTGCTTCAGGCTACTATAGGCTTACGCAGTTTGTAACTGAAACAATAGCATGCCTTGCAATAACAAGGGAAATGATATACCCACGCTAAACCGTGGTCGCAACCGTCACAATACTTTGCTACTTCCTTCATCACCATGTTTTCAAACTACATTTATCAGTGGATCTTGTTCAAACAAGCAGTGTCAGGTTGTGAATGCCAGTTGACTGAATAATAAATAGTGGTCGAGTAGTGATTTCTAGGAAATATACTCGGTGTCGACCTTTACTTCAAGTCGACTTTGCCCCGGCAAATTTTACGGTGTAAGCGCAGTTCCTGGGCGTCCTCAGTATTTTTCCCGGGCAAAGCACTTTTCCAGGGAGGGACAAAGCCTCATCAGCTACGAACTGGTAGACAAGATTGACAATGGAAATGGGCCATTTATTATATTTCTTTTATAGTAACTCAGTGACTTTCATTCCATTTCATCTATTTCTCGTTTCCGTCGCATTTCTTTCTTTCTGTTTTTTTTCTTTTCATTTTTTTCTTTTCCGGGGAGAGCGCCCTTCCCCCCGTGACGCCCAATGGTACAGTCAAGCACAAAGCAGTTAAAAAACACAAAAAAGACAATACTCTCTGTTAAAAAACTTGGTTTTGTCGAAGGATACGAAATTTTATGATCGAAGTGCTAAAACTAAACTGAAATGCTGGTCATGTATGTCAATCGGAGCATACAGAGTGATTTCGGACCTTCAAAGTTTTACTTGCTGATCAACGTGTTGTTTTTCTTTTAAACAGCCGAAATAAACGAAGGAAGTCCGGACGTCTGCCTGCCTTGATGAAAGGGGGGGGCTTCCAGCGAAGGGTCCCGGGTTACACAGTCTTGAAGCCCTTTCCATTTAGGAATCTGTCATAAAGCCGTAGGGCTACGGCTGGACGTACTTATAAGTTTATAAATCGGGGGAGCCAGCTGCTATAGCGGCTCGCTGCATTAATTTTCCCATAGACGCGTGTATCGTTTCCACCTGTAGCCAGATTAAATCGGATGTGGCCAGTGAGCATGCGTAAAACAGTGTGAAAGTACTGGTATGGCTGCTACCAACAGCGTCTCAAACTCTTCCATTTTGCTTGGTAGTCTCATCCCTGATCATAGAGTTAGATATAATATCCAACCATGTGTTCGATCCATCTTTCTGAACGAAATCATTTACTTTGCTACTGGTAATATGCGCACTGTTAATTTTCAATCCTCCCTTGCTACTGATGGTTTAAACACTCAAAATCCGGACTATAGCTGGAACTAGGAGCGTATAAACCAGGTTGCAATTTGCATACTTGAGTAGCTAGGGGACTTATAAGTGGATAGAAGGGGCCATGGTCTCCTCAAAGGAGCCAAAAGTGAATATTTTTTTATCGAATAATGTGAGAAAAGTGATTTGGAGGTCTATTTTATTCCCCTTGCTTTCAAAAGGACGCATATAAAACGTTCCAAAATGTATACCCCAAGAAAGGCCATAAAGGGTCATATTAAAGAATCCAGGAGCCTCAGGGGAGCCTCAGTGGATCTCGTCATGCTTAAAAGAACGCAAAACCTCTTGTCTATTCCCAAAGTTCTGAAAGGAGGTAAGTATTGCATTATGTAGGGGCCTCCAATGGGCGTACTATCTTCCCGCCCAATACCGGGCTGTCCTTGCCCGGACACCACGTCGACTTTGTTCACGGGGAAGCCATTTTTTATCGCGTTCATATTTAGTGTAATCTGGTAAATGGGATGGTTCCTGATTATTTTGGTTTACAAAAAAAATTTTCAGATTTTTTTTTAAATATGGCTTGAAATATTTTAATATAATTTATTTATATTTATTTATTTGTAATAAATTTTACATTCAAGACAGGTAGACAGATTTCATGCGTTGTGATTTGTCAACGCGTTGCAAAGTCTTGGAGGCGCTCTGTTGTGAATCGTCTGTATTTTTGTATTTGCAATTGTAGTAAATATTACTTACCGTGTCGAATAATTTGCTTAGACGTTACATGTATGTCGTTCTTCAGGCCAAGATGCGTTCCGGCATCTCACCAGGGTCTTTTATCGCTCAGCCTCGGCGGCTGTGGTTATGTTCGACCTGACCTCACGGAGGTCCTTCGAACACGTCAAGGAATGGAAGCAAGATTTAGACGCCAAGGTCGCTATGCCCGACGGTAGTCCTGTTCCCTGCCTTCTTCTCGGTAATAAGGTACGAGAGCGAAAAAATTCTCCTGTGGCAGATAGACTTTCTCATTGTCCGAAACAAATTCCATGAAGTTGATGAACTCAATTAGGCCTACTGCATATCGAGACAAGTTCGAGAGACGACAGGGGTTATGCATAGTTGAACTAACGTCGCCCGAACGATGTAGCGGATGGACCAATCTAATTCAAGATTTTGAACCAGAGCTATTGCATCGCTGGTTATGCAAGTAGTAGGACCGAAAAGTAGCTGCAATCACTAATAACAAAATATGACTGACTATAGGTTCACCGTCCTTTGCGTGTTGGCACTGTCTTGCGCATGCTCACTGTCGATACCCTGTGGTCGAACCACAGTGTGCGTTCGAACCTGTTGAATGGTGAAGAGTAACCATCGCCAGTACAATGAAAATGCGCCCTCCATCATAAATGGAACAATTGGTCCTTGAAAAAAAAAACTCCTTTGATGGCGACGCCCACGACTGCAAGGCTGGGGGCAGATTTGGGCCATTACAGAACTTAGCACCCAAGGGAAAATCTATAAATCCAGTGACACAGCTCTCGTGCTTTTTTCAGTCGGACCTAGACCAATACGTTGTTACTGACGAAGAGATTACACTGATGTCCCAAGACCTGAATTTCGTGGGCTGGAGTAAAATATCTGTCAAAGACTACGTTAACATCGACCAACCAATGCTGTAAGTATGCAACTCGGAATGCAAAGCGCAGATGCAAAAAAGAGAATACTATAACTAATACATCCTTTGCAAAACCGGACAAAATGATCGAACGGGACGGAGAGTTATTTCCCCGTATCAATTTCTGAAAGCAAGAATTTTGAAAGTGGCGTAAGCACGAGGGCGCACGAGGCATATCCCCCCCCCCCGGTGCCCGCTTACTCGTGCCCCGCCCCCCGGAAATTTGAAAGTGCGAAATGAAAAAAGGATCTGCACAGCGCATTTCGTTATAGATTTGCCCCTGAAAACTTCTTAAAAACTAAAACACCAAGAAGAAACAAACAAGCAAATGTCTTTATTTTGATGTCAGCTTTTAAAAACACAAAGATTTCATTTAAAGTCACTGACATGATAGTTTTGCATGAGCTACCGGTATAATAAACGACTGTTACTTATACCTGTCGTCTAATTGTTGCCTATAGTATTTCAAAAATGACATGCTTGTAAAGGATAAAAAGAATCAAAAACAAAAAAGCCAACAGTATTACTCAAACATTTTTGAAAATTTTAAGTGACGAGTAGAACACAACAGTGGAAATGAACTGAAGTGCTACTTTCAAAGTTAACTCAGTTATTTATACTTGAGGATTTACTTGACGTTTCGTCCCAAACTTACTTTCAACTTCAACATGACGGAACGTTTCAATGCCATATACTGGATGGCTGACAGCATGCATCGGTAAAACCCAGTTGACCTGTTTTAAATGTGATCAAATCAAATTTACTTGCATTATAATTCGTTATCAAGGAGCATTTTATTTCACTTGCCATGAGGACATTACATGAAACGTGAAGACTTCTTTCCCCCTCAGATTTCTCGTTGATGTAATTCTGGCTCGATGTTACCCCACTTTCCAAGCACGAAGGAGGTCAGACCCGGAAGAAATCGACGCACGCGAGTTTGCAGACAGTATTGAATTGTCGCCAAGAAAAGAGGACCGGAAAACCTCGACTTCGTGCTTTTGTTTCTATTAGTTTCATTCAGGAGAAATGTTTCGATTCCGGCTGCAGGTGAGAGAGGACGCAGGAAAGAGCTTCAACTGTCACACGACGAGACTGGCATAAAGTGAGATCTTAAAGATTAGAAAGCAGTGTCTTTGGCCGTTTTGAGTCTCTGGAAAGAGATCAGGTCAAGTTACATGTTTTTGCCGTCCGTCGCATGGAAAACCTGCATTTATGGCAAAGTAACTCAAATAAACCGATTTCTAATTGCAGGCAAATTTCAACAGCAAGCTAAAGGAAGCGGCCCCCAAAATAAAATGGTTGCAAAAGGTTGAAACTTTTCATTCAATTTGCCCCATTAATGTTCATCCATCAGCACTTGTTGAAAAGGAAAGCGAAGGATATACATTGTACACCATGGGTCCTAAGGGAAACTTGTGTCATAATAGAGAGCATTTTATAAATGAAAGCACAAAGCAAGACCATCGCAAACAACATAACTAAACAAAAACAAAAAAAAAACTTAAAATCACTTTTATTTTGCAAAATGTATATGACTACATCAAGAAAACCTCACTGATCTGTGAGTTTATTGGTTTTGACAAAGTAGATTTTTTTTTATCAAGCTCATGGGTAGGGTATATAGTTATAGTTTCTATATTGGAACGAAAGAGGGCGCTTTGCAACCCTTCAATGACTTCCCTTTGAACTTGAATCACTCATGTGGGCCAACCGATGCCAGGCTTCATCAAATCTAGTGACAAAGTACTGATAACGTCGTTACATGAAATTTTCATGGCCTTTGGGAGAAGCAAAGATACATTTGAGGGGCTGTTTTACACCCGTGTTTGATAGGAAATGAAATCGTCCTTTCAAAGTTTCTTTTTTGAATAAGACATGTAGGATAAAGAGCGTATGACCCCGGCCTGTGGTCATCCCCTCTCCATCCGCTAATGAGCGCTGGTTGCAAGAAGGAAAGTCACTCCCCTCCATTGTGTGGGTAGAGATTCCAGAGGTGGGGGATATATCCCCCACTTTTTGACCTTGGGATTACCAGTATAATCATCTCCCACTTTTCAAGTCACTGACTATGCATATCAACGACTACACACTTGCCGGCGTCACGATCTCACCTAAGATGAAGGCCACAGCGAGCTTTTAGCAATCATCCCCCAACATGAAAGAAGAAGCCTCCGCTCATGCTGTATTGTAAAATCGACCCACGAACAACTCCAGTTTGGCCCAATACCTATAATAAATGCCACTGAAGGAGTAAACCAAGCGTATTAAAACTTTACATCAGAGCGACGTAAATTTTGACAGTCAAAACTCAATTATGAACCCCCGCTCACGGAATTGTGCAGCACCACAGCAATGTACTGTTCACAACACATGCAAATGTCACGTGGAAATGTTTTTATTGGAAGGTTTTTGCCCTTCACGCACGTGTGCAAAGGAACTGCAGCACAGTCTGGCATCCGGAATGGAACAGTCTGGGATCCGGATGGAACAGCATGTATGTTGTTTCCCGGGGAGTATCGAGCCTCCAGCTCCATTATAGTCCCTTTGTCTTCAGGATTGAAAACCCATCGAAATGCAGGCATAACAACCTGGCGAAGGTTATAGGAATTTTTCACGAGGGTTCATCCTGCATGTAGAAAAAAATGCTGTTTGCTCCAATAAAGAAAAACGCAAACACCGCTTTACTTGTAGAAAGTATACAATTATGAATTGATGCATGGTAACACTCATGTTCATGATCTGTTTGTGATCTTTTCATCAGGTAGATAGTATCACACATCTTTTTGGGCATTTTATACAGTAAAGATAACATAAAATAAGCATCCACTTATAAGCTTAGACCGACTTCTCCTCCCCTTTTGCAAGAGGGGGTGTCAGTCTCATACTCGACTCCTGGGTTTTGGGGGTCGTTCCTACACTGGGCCTCAGTCTTGTTCCAATCTCAGCAGTAGCCTTGGCACCTTGAGCTTCCAGAGGCTGGATTCAGTTTGTTAAACGCCCTGAAACTGAACATTTTGATTATAAATCAAACCAAGTCTACAACCACCAATAATCCACGTATCAGAATTATAGGCTTTTTCTTTGGAATCGGTTCCTGCTATTATACTTTCAGGAAGCAAGTACATAGACACGTCTGATATCATATTACAAGGCATATACCAACCAACTTATACTGCTTATTTTATATGCGTGTACTTTTCTTTGTCTGACTAGAAGCCTTATTTCCATTGCTCTGTCAAGGCTCTTGACAGGTATACACGTACATGTGCCTTCCTGTTCACGGAATCCGGTTTTAAAAAGCGTTGTCAACAAACGCCTTCCTGTTGGGACCAGTTCATATATGTTAGGGTGCGATAACCTTTGAAGTTATCCAAACTGTACAATTATTTCTTAAGTCTGAGCGCGGTGATGGGCGACATCACTGAAAGTACAGGGGTGTTTTGATAACCTCACAAAACAACATCCAGGGGCAGCCCCCACGCTCAGCAACCGTCGAACTCCTCTGAGCCACTGCACTTCATGGTGCATAAAACGACACAAGAAAGGGTTTATCTACAATGGTTAAATGTTAATCTGATGAAATTTTCAGCTCTTAAGAGTATCTTCCTCAGCCAGAACTATTTTCCCCAAACACCATCTTGTTAAGTTTATGGTTTACTTCGAAATTATTGAAATGAAATACATCACCTGTTTGACCTTTATAAGAAGGTTCCAATTTGTTAATAGCTATACCTTTTTCATCTCTAGAGGATGCAGCTGAAACTAATAACCACACGATTGAGTGTGAAGCCTATTTCTTTGTTTAATAGAACGAAGATGGTTTTAAAAAATCGGTCCTCCATTGAAACTTGAAACCATCCTGACTCCTCGGTTTGGGTCGGGTGTCGGAGATTTACACAAACACTTTCGGTTTTACATATAAACAATCATCTCTTGTGTAGCCTAGGCCCCTTTATAGATAATTAAGTACCAATATTAAAAACACGTGGTCGAATTAAAAAAAAGGTAAAATAATAAGATTAAGGAGATTTTCACTGTTGAGGGGCAAAGATTCCACATGCAGCTGCAGATGTTAGCCATGCAAGGCATTTATTATTTTTCACTTAAATTTCAATATGTTTGTATGTATGTATTATGCATCTCATCTGTCAAGGCATCCAGTAAATAATGTCAACAATGAATCCCACTAGCCGGTCAGTCAGTACCTTTTCTTACACTAGTCTTACACTGGTCAGACTGACTAAAAAGCTGGATCCGGATTTGTTCCGTTATCCTTTTTTGCGGTCCAATTTGCGCTTGTCTGGACTTATATCAGCCGGATTCACCTGTAACCCGGAGAAGAGATGTTTCTAATCCAGATACAAGACAATTCTGAACCCGCATTGCATCCCTGGTCGGAAATGTGACACATCCCACAAACAGAACGCCTTCCTTTCGTAATGTTTCCACAGTATTCTAAAATCACTTCAGCCCCCCCCGACCATTCCCACCAAAACTCTGTGTGGGTATTAGAAAATGCACTAGATGGACTCCAGACCCCCCCCTCTTTGACTAAGGGGCGTGGTTTTTGTAACAGTTTACAGAACTGAATGTCACAGTTGATCAGAAACATTGCCATACTCAATATATGGCCAGGATCCTGACGCAGCAAATCCCACAACCAGCGGATACTGTGGGCATTTTGCTATCGCCCGATAGAATCAACTATGGCGCAGTGTCTAATTTTCTGCACATACACTTATTGTACGCAGTGGTAAGAAGTTACACAATATCCGCCAAAACATTGTCAGGTTAAATTGTCTCTGCTCCGTTCGAATTACGTCTTGTCAACAGCTGGTACCCTTGCCGTCCTTATGTTTACTGGACACTTTGGGTGCCAGCCAAGTTTGAACACGGACCATTAATGGTCCATGGTTTACACTGGTAGTCATTGACACTTCTTTTTGTCAGTGTATTTTTGGAGTAATTGCCATCATAAACGTAATGACATGACAATGTTTGTGTACATAATAGAAAATTCTATTTTGCACTTAAATAATATGCAATAAAAATACTACAGTAGTACATCAGTTCAGTTCAGCTCTGCGCTACCCTCTCTGTGAACAGTTATACTTTCGATTGTATTTAAAGTTTCTAATCTCCATCTCTGTATTCTGTATGCTATCCTTTTTCACCACTAACGTAAACAAGTTTAACGAAACCGTTCATGTTTATTGTTCAGGGATCAAGGTGTAGCCTTCTTTTGTTCTGCCAGCTGCATGCGCAGCGGTATAGGCGAGGTCAGGGTGGGGGAGTAGTTTTGAACCACAGATAACCTTCAGATAAAGTTTACGTCAGGGGCACTGGGCTCTGCCGGATTTGATTTTCAACTGATTTAAAAGCTCCTTCCCATCGTGTGATCTCCACAATCTATTAGCTGGGACACACAGCCGGTAAAACCCTAGAGCGGGCTAGGGGCAGATGAATGCCCAACCCCTGCATCTGTGGAGTCGTGTGACATTCACACATGCTGGCTTTCGAAACCAGGAAGTAACTTTCGAAATATTGACAGAACACTGTGTAATATGACAATCCACGGATAGGCCCATATTTATAATCCACTTCAATTTGCTGTGTTTAGTTGCAGTAGCGTGGCCAAGCTCTAAGAGGGAGCGGGGTGGGGAGAGTTTGTGCCATCCCCCAAATCCTGTGCCACTGAGTTTGTATAATGGATGGCTTTTTCAAGAACCTTGTTAAATGGGCCTATGTCCACACTAAAGTAGCACGTATCGAGAGTATAAATGGCATGGCGACCGTTACCCCCCCCCCTTAAAAAATCTCAATTTTCCACGGGGAGGCGAGGGTAAGAGGTCCCACGGGGTTGAGTGGATCCCCCCCCCCGACTACTGTTTACAAAACCTTCTTAGAGACGTAGTTCCAAGAGTCCGTGAATAGTCTGCAAAACAAATAGCTGTGCGCTTCGCAGACTGTTCCAAAAAATTGCCTGGCGCTGTGCCAGCAGGAAACAAGACCACAAATTATGCAACAACGGATGTCCCGCGCCAAAAGAACCATGTTGTGCAGACTGTTGCTCGAAGGACCAAATCAACTTTCACGTCTGCTGAATCGCACAAGCTGGCAACAATAACTAGGCACAAGAACTCCTGTATACTAAAATTGTTACGCTATAGAATTTGAGCATCGTTAATTATTCTGCCCATTACTCCATTGATTCCGGTATCCACATGCAGCATTATCGACGGGTTGGCTGACTCCAGCACTTTCGGTGGTCAAGTCATCAATTCAGAAATAGATTACAACGAGATGGGTGGTCTTGGGTTCGAATCCTGTCCACGGGCACGTGGACACCATCCCATCCACTGAGGCTCCGAGAGGGAAAATGAGCACACTGCGCTAATGATACTTCAGTGAAAGTTGATTTACATGTAGTTTGCTATATAAATATTTTCTATGCAACGATGTAATTGTAATTTACTAATTTGACAACTCTACTACTATACGGTGCATTTCATCAAGTCACAATAAAAATCCAGGGGTTAAGGAATTGTACATAATCCATAGCTGCAGCCTCATCTACTGCAGGTATCCCACACTTAACATTATCCCTTGGCCATTAGAAATACATTTATAAACACTCTACCCAAGGTAAGAGTCGAGTACAAACAAGGACAGAGATAATGACCTTCCGCTTGGCTTACGCATTTTTGGCGGATGCCAGATGGAAATGTGCACCATCTATAGTGTGAAAGGGTAGCCAGGGTGCCTTGACCTGTCCTTCTTATAATTATTATGATTCCCTATGGTCATGCCTGCGAGGCATCGTTAGTGCTCTCCAGCACGATGATGCCCGGCCCGTGGCCGAGCCTGAGGTTGTCCGAGCCGCCAGTGGCAGGGGTGATGTCCACCGAGCCCGTCTTCGGCCGCAGCCGCCGGCAGCTGAACACCTTGCGGATGCCGCGCCGGAAGGGCCGATTCTTCATGGTGTAGATGATTGGATTGAGGCAGGAGTTAGCCACGGCAAGGATGACAGTAATGTGGTAGTAGACGGACCCGAAGTCCACGATCGACGGGTCGGGGCTCAGGTTGAAGACGACAAAGATAAACTGGTTGGGTGCCCAGCATATGGCGTAGGTGACGCTGACTATCAGTAGGGTCTTCTCCAGCTCTTGGGCCGCGTACACCTGCCACATCTTACAGTTGTCGGACTTCCGGACCGTCGATACTGAAACGTGGCAGGAGATGGACAGAAGCAAATTAGATAAGTTTTAGTGATAGTTCTTTAAAGGGAAAGCATGTGGCGAGTGTTCTCTGAGAGACTGTAAATGGCGATGGTTACCATGTGTAAGGATATGACCATTGAAAAGTGGCACAAGTCCGAATCAGATTGGTGACTACAGCTTCGAGTATGCTACAGGTGAAGGCTGAGTATTTAGACACTCGTAAAACATACCAACCAAAACCAAACCGAGTAAAACCCAACAAAAGACAAACAATTTGGTGAGACCGGCGCAAGAATCAAACAATATGGAGTTCCGTTGGAGTCCCTCTTCTCATGAAACAGAGTTACACTAGTTTAACTAAGCAACCGTTAGCTACATGTATTTATGAATAAATGAAGAAAATACTTTATAAGAAACAATAAATGTATGCGGGTCATCGTTACACACTTTCCGCTGGATGTTGGATATGTCGTATTAAACGCAACCAACGTGTGGGATTCCTTTCTCCCGTGAGTCCTTTATTGCGGATGTTTTCAAAGTTGAACACGTCACTGACGTTTTCACGGAGTGGCGAATCAGTCCTCATGAACACAAACTTTTGAGAATTTCGCATTTGAAGTTGCTCACTTTAAAGTGCATTCAAAGTTTCACCTACTCATTGGCAGAAAATCTGGGGCCAATTTCATAGAGCTGCTTAAGCACAAAATTTCCTTAAGCGTAAAAAACCCTGCTTAAAAAAGAAAGGTTACCAGCTCAAACTTTATCTGATTATCAATGCTAACCAAAAGAGAGCTAAATACGATCCCAAAGCAATATACATCACTTAGAGTTTTGGCTGGCAACCTGATTTATCAAGCAAGGTTTTTTTTGCGCTTAAGCAAAGTTTGTGCTTAAGCAGCTCTATGAAATTGGTCCCTGTACCACACCTAGCGTAAACGCTGACATGTTAATCCAAGAGTTAAGGCCAGCTGCAGTTCTTGGTTTAAGGCCAGTTCATACTTGTCACTAAAGCGAGCACCAACGCTAATTTGTGACGTCGGATCAAAATATTTGCGCTGCGAATTCGCAAAAGTTAAACACATACCTATCTGAGCGAAATTTGGATGCAAATCTTTCGTGACGTCAAATTCGCTTTCAAATTGACCTGGGGTACATATGAAGCGGCCTTTGGGTGAATGCAAATTTGACATCTTGTGTCGTTTGCAGCCAAATTTGCTCGAGCTAAGTTGTTTCCAACTTTTGCGAATTTTCGGCGCTCGTTATCGATCTGACATCGCCAAATCGTGTACGCGTTATATACGAACTGAGTTTTTTAAATACTTTTCACGTAGTTATTCAATAGCAAAATCTAGAGGACAATTCGAGAGGCCGGTATGGAAAATTCGTCGCTCCGTCTCGAGGTTTCGTTTGAAACGGGTCGTGTGTCTCAGAAAACACTGAATTGGGCATTAAAATGACTTCAGCTACTCTCTTTCTCTCTCTCTTTCTCTGAAAAAATTGCTGTCTGCGGTATAAGTGCAGTCATTTCTAAACCATAGTTAAATTGGAAACCATCAGTTTTACCTTGCCATATAATTGACAAGGTAATATTTATGACTATTCTTTCTTTTGGGTAAATTCCGGTATTACTAACATATGTATGATTGCAGCTGTTACATTCATAATAGGGGATTACTGTTGAAAATAATCAGACAATCCAGGTATTCAATTCTTCTTAGCCTAGATCCTGCAGGTACAGCATTTCGTGGTTCGCTTGCGTGTATCGGAGACCGACGGGCAGAATTCGTCATGAATTCCCTGAGACATGAACATCAAAGAAACGTTGTCAATTCGCATGTACAAATTAATCATTGTTATTAATCGTTAATACACTGTTAAGTCAAAACGTGGAAATCTTCAAAGATGGGCTAGACACCCTAAAGGGCTTTTCCTGAGGATAAGCCTAACGATTTCTGTCGTTCACGAGGAAGGACGAACGAAATCTGAGACTCAATTTAAAGTAAGTTATTATCATTATCACCTAAGGTAATTCAAGTGTCCATTTGTTTTCACATACATGTCTAATGTGTAGCAAGCACTAAATGACATGCCCTTGCAAGTGCATGAAGTGAGTACAATTTTGACAGTTTGGCATTCAATGTGGTCTTCGAAAAGTAAGTAATTAAAATTTAATGTTAATACTAATGAAGTTTATTGAAATAAAACCAGGCAAGAAATTCGGAAACGCAAAAAAATGTGATGAAATTACAGTTGTCCCACATCCCCGATAAGCGGCGAAGCCACTTAAAATCTTTCTCGGTCATTGATACCCAATAAGTACATTTGAGTTACATTCAAAATTCCTCAGCTAGTATTTCCTGAATATTAAATGGAATAGTTTATCGTTTGGAGTGCATTAAACTTTGTTTTATGTTTTAACTTAACTTTCCACATCGTAGGACAATTACCCATTAATTTGATGCACGAAATTATTTACATTGTGTTGTTTGGTCGAAGATCTTTTGTTTACCCTCGTCTCCAATAGGGTAAAAATACCAGTTACTGACTAGAAACAGACTGACAACCTGAGAAACTTTAACATCGATTAGTTATCGTTTTTACTTTGCGTCATATATTATCTTTGCTTCCCCTGACGTTCCATTCCCATTCCACCTTAATTCCTCATTCGTGTTTGTAATGTGATGCGGTGTTACAAATTGCGTAGATAGCACTCAGGACTGAAAACAAAAACTGTTGTGAGCGGAACGTTGGTTTAGACGTTAAAAGATTAGCTTCTCTGAAGTAGACTATAGCAGTTGTCGTGTTGCATACACAGCCATATAGGTCTTCTTGGCCATTTTCAGCAAATGAGCAAGTAATTGAACCACTTCGTCAGCTTATTTTGCGCGACGTTAAATGCCGCGCTGAAAATAGTTGATTTGATTCGTTTGACAATTGTAGGCAAAATAACTGCCGTGTCACTCGATTGAATGCAACAATTCAATTTAACAATTCAACAAAACAGCCTTCCTAGGCGTGTGTTTGGTCGTTCAAATTCATTATCGGGCAAAAATTGGTCATTAATTAACTACAAAGCGCTCTGTTGAACTTTTATTTCCTTAGAATGTTATTGACAAAGGAGTCACTTTGCTTAGGTACTTCCACGTAGCGAGCTCTTGACAATTTCATGCGCGTGCATGTACATGTATTTCTAGAACTGGCAGCTTGTGGTTGCCACACAAGAGTGTCTTAGGTAGACAGAGAAAAGTTGATTTGGGCCACGGGGAGAGCAATCGAAATGGTCAATTTTAACATGAAAAAGTCTTACTTGTGTGCCATTTCCTGCACCACGTTTGAAAAATCTTTACTGTACTGCGCATGCATTTGAACATAACTGTATAAAATTTACCCCTTACAAATAAATAAATTATTAGTATATTGTTAGTAGTATCATGCAAATGATACAATGATCGTGGGAGTTTACGTATACAACAAAAATGAAGAACTATCTAATGACTTAATTTTAGATGGATTTGCTTTAAGATTTAAAATTTCAAACTTTTATTGCTTGTAATTTGACAACAGATGACGTCATAATGATCTTTAAGTATGTCATAATGACGTTAACCTTGTGAGGATGAGGGTTCGTCTTCCTACTATTTTTCTAGTTGAAAAAAATGACCCGGAGAATTATTGTCTTGAAGGGAAAAAAAGAAGGAAAGGCGGAGGAGAAAATGGAATGGTAACATTAAACAAACAAGGGATTGGGTTAGGCCCAACCACGTAATCAAACATTCCAGATGAAGTGCACTGAGTACTTGGCTTTATGTGGGTGCTATATTGGCCGTGTGTTGACTATAACGTATCTGAGCTTACAACCAGGAAATACCGTTAACATTACATGGTTTGCAGAAAGAGTACGCGGATCATGTTTGAGTGCGATAGCCACTAGTGACGGACGTTCAAACCAGCGCATGGCCGAATGAACCCGAATCACGGGAACACAATAATCTTCACACCAAAGAACTTTCAACAATGATCGCTGACGGGAAGTTTGAGTGCTTGCACTTCTCTTTACAAACACGACTTCAACGTCGGCGACTGCACAGCAAGGAAGATATATATAGCGCTACTTAAAGCACACGATAGCTTTGCGGTTTGCAAAGCACAAGCTTGTCATGCGCAGAAGATACCACTTATTCTGCCTGAGTGTCTGTAACGACAAGAACTCACTTGTTAAAGAGATGTGAAATCGTCTCTTTGACAAGTAGCATTGAAATATGCTTTCCAAGAAATATGCTCTATGGGATCTTGTAATAAAAACGATCCCCTTCTAGACTTGGGCAAACGTCTTACTACTCGACCAACGACCTCATCAAGTTTGGAGCTGTGTGCCATGAGGATATGCATCCTCGTGTGTTGCCACGGTTAACTATCTCTTCTCGACGCAACCTGGTTTGCTTTCGTTTATTTCTGGAAATTTTCAGAACAAAAGTCTCCCTGGATGTCGGTTTAGATATTTTTTTAAATAGACTGTCTCTTCCCCTTGCACAGCTAGCTCCACAACGTTCAAAACACAGAAGCGTCAGTGTAGGTACAACATTGTACGCTATTCAAGGCTATGAGGCTTGGACCCTCTGAGCCCAAATACCTGCCAAGCATTATTACCTTACCTTCCCAACCAAGAAAAAAGGGACATGCCGAAGTTGTGCTTAAGCATATACAGAGGTCAATTTGCTAATTTTCTGTTGTAAACTTGCAATCAACTTTTTAAACAAAAATCCGAAATTCGCCAAAGAATGCACGCATGTTTCACTTCTATTTGACGTGTTGAAATAAACAATTTCGACCATGCCGGTCCAGACCCTCGTGAACCATACAGAATTGTCCTTGGCAGCTTGCCGATCCTCTATTGAGCCTTCTCATTTTGAAGACTTTGTTTGCACAACATTTACAAAAGATTACATTGAAACTCTTTGCATTTGCTCCGGAGGAGGCTTAAACTCAATAATGTAAAACAATACCGATTTCTTACGTTGCGCACGTATCCATCCTGCCGGTTGCTCCAAGCGCATAATTGTTATCCCGTCACATTGGACTCACAACTTACTGAACATTCCCGAAACCATCTCAGCTCCCTTGGAGTAAACTAGTTCATGCAGCACTATCAGGCGCACACGGCTAAACCAAATCTGCCCTCACAGGTACCCATTTACTCCTGAGTGGAGAGAGGCACGTAGGGGTAAAGTGACTTGCCCAGGATCAAAACATGCAGCCACCAGCTGGGCTCGAACCTCCGACCCCATGATGATGATGTGAAATTTAGCCTCAAAGTGGTTGCTATAAAGGTGATGAAATATTTCCATTTTCGACAAATCTTGGTTTCTTCACTTGAATTTCTCGATTTTGGAAGTTTCCCACAACAAGAGACCAGAATCCAAACTACACAACACAGTCAATTTCATTTAGCTAATTTTTTTTTTTTTTTGGAGGGGCCGACTTTTATGAGTTATATCAGACACCGAGGCGCGATCTACATATTTTACATACACAGAACCGATCCAGCCACTGTACGACCAACGGCGTGTTATGCGTGTAGTGTCGTACATAACGCTGGGGATATGTACCGTGAATTTCAACGTCTCCTTGCAATGTTACAATGAAAGATAGACCTCGGTTTCAAAATCTTACTTCATGTAAACTTAATGTACTTTTGTGTTCGTCTGTCAAGGCCATACGATTAATGCGGGAATGAGGCCTGACAGAATCGGGGCTACGTTAGATCGATATACAAAGGCATCCAGTCGGGAAGAGAAAAAAAATCCTGAGAAAACTGTCAGCAAATATGAAACCTTCACACCTTTTTCAACCACGGCTTACTTTTGCAAATTTCAGGAAAACTTCGCATTCTTTGTTTTAAGCCTTCGAAAATTGCACCAAATGTAAACAAACTGTACCGCTCACGAAAAGAGCGTTACACAAAAATCACTAGTTTTGACCACTGTAATACTATTTCTCGGTTTATTTTCACACACAAAAAAGTTAGGAAAAGGCCTCGTCATACCATGAAAATATTTGGGTCAGGTATTTTTATTTCCAAAAAATGAAAAATAAGACGTAAATTTCACGAAATGAAAGAGCTGCTTGCCTGGCACAAATTCAAATGGCTCTCATTACGTTTGCAAATGACCCTAAAAATGGGACATACGCAGTTCAAAATTCCCCGCTGAAACATACATGTTACATGAATAGGGTCACATTACTACTGGTGTAGTTTGTGGGTTTTCTGCGACTTACAGTTCTATTTTATTCTTTTTATAACTACTGGTATGCCACTGACAGGAATATGCATTTCGATACTCCCAACTTTACGTTCAAGTGGGTCCGTACCGGGCCTGGACCGACAACAATGTCAGGGTCACGCACAAAGGGATGCCGGCAAGGTGAACTCTCGCCTCTTATTTAACTGTGACCTTGGACATTGACCGCGACAGGTCACAACCCACGAAGATGCAACAATAGTTTTTGCCGCACATCAATATCCAAATTGTGGTTTTCCGTAAATTTGTCCCACTTATTGTCAGGTCTCACTCCCTGCAGTAAAAGAATTCTGTGTTATTGTGTTTCCCTGTTTTCCTTAAATTTTCATATCAGTAGATGTCCACAAATGAATGTTTGGAAAACTATGTAACATTATAATTATAGTGGGTTGTTAAATAATTATAAGGGCGTACATGTGACTATTAAATAATACATGCTGATTGGGTCTGTATTCCAATAATCATTCACTGATTGTCGTATAGTTCATTAAGCGTAATATAACTTTTTCCATAGAATTGTGTTTCGAAGGGCTTAGTCCTCGAGTACAACCGTTTAAGCGTTGCGCTTGATGGGATTCTATAACAAGATTATTCAAGTGCAGGTTCACATGTTTACTTACCTTTTCGCTCTCTTTTCTCCTTCAAAGTCCTAGCTTGCACCTTTAGCGTCTTGATGACCTTCCACTGAGTTAACACCATGAAGGCGAAAGGTGCTAGATAGTAAGAAGTGAAATTCCACAAGCCAAGCACGACCTGGAATCCCTTGGTGGGCCAGCCAAAGAAAGAGCAGCGACCGTACTCGTCGTTTCCGTACACGTAGAAGGTGTAAGAATTGGTGATAATGCCGACTGCCCAGCAGGTACCGATCATGATGGCCGTGTTCCTTGGTGTGTAGATGTTCTTGTACTTGATGGGATGGACAATGGCGATGTAGCGCTCCAAGTTGACGGTGACCAGGCTGCAGATGGACACTTGGGCGGTGGTCCACAGCGGGAACTTGGAGGAGTAGAGACGGCACTTGAGGTCGCCCCAAAACCCGGGGCTGGGGTCGGGAGCGTGGGGGAACAGATGGAAGGGGACGGCCCAGATGCACACGACGAGGTCCACCAGCGCCAGGTGGACAAGGAAATTGCTGGTTTGGGAGCGCAGGCTGGGGACCCGCAGTAGCACCAGGCAGACCAGGAAGTTGCCGGCAATCCCCAGCACGGCGATGATGCCGTAGATCGCGCGCACCGCCATGCTGTTCTCGATCTCGCTGACGGCCCAGCCGGCGTTCAGTTCCGTGTCTCCGACATCACCGTCTGTTGTGGTCGTCAAGAAAGTCATGGTGCTTGCTACTGCTGTGCTGCTGATATCCAGTCGGTAGAAGACTCCCGATACGCTGTATGTTTAATGCGTCCAGCATAAACAACAGTTGCTTCACCTTGCCGTAATGTTAGGAAATCCTCGGAGTTGCAACGCGTTGGTTTCCGAACCAAAGTCCTTTGTTTAATGTCACAAACTGTACAGAGCAAACTTAGCAGCATTCAGGAAATACATGTGTGTACGGCAGAAATGAAGTGGCTAGCTAGAGCGTCCCACAACGATGCAACTGTGAGTACGACGGCCCTCGTGCGATGGAATTGTGCAAAAGGAAGACCTACCTGGGGGCGGGCTTCGCTGCCTCTTATAATTTGACCTTTGGTCCTCCCGGTGGACCTTACAGGACACTGGGAAAGGCTTGTGCCCAAAAATACGTAAAAGCCACCGACTCGAAAAGTATATTGCAGGTTTTGTTTATTGCTGCCTTTATCAACGAATTTATATTTAGTGCACACGTCATGCGCACCTAGACGAGTACACGTCATGCGCACATGGACAATTAATAAGTTGGCCAATCAAGTGGTAGAGCACCATCACTAGTCAAGATATGGTGATCCCATTTTAACGTCAACACTATCAAAAGCTATCTCTTTGAACATGTAGGTTTAACGTAATTTATTTCACAAACATTTTAACAGTGTTTAATCGAAAATGTTAATAATTATTTTATTTGACAATACGAAAATTGTAATATTAACGACAATTACAAATTGTTTCCGTGGCAAGATTTAACTCCTTGATTATCTTGATAACATAGGTCCACGGACACGACAAAACTCCGCCCTAGCCAATTTACGTATGGCTTTTACATATTTTCCGATACAACTTACTAGGACATGTATATACTTGATAGAACAAAGCGCCCTCTCTCTTTCGCGCAGAGAGCCTATAATTATGCTCGTACGGTAATTTTCAGGTGGAGCTACGTGAAGTGTGTTAAGTCTGTGATTCACTGAGCGGCCCGGATTCCACCGCTGAGATATTTCCTATCGTCCCTTCAGTGGCAGTAACTATACAGTGTCCCTTGGGCTCCCCCGTACTCATGAGCCTCCGTCCCCCAATGGGAAACTAACCTTACCCTAAAATTACTTCGGTTCCTGAATCCTTAGAAAAATCGTGGTCGTCGATTGGTGCACCCTTGTTCTATCTTTGTACAAACTTCGTGTCATTAGGGCATTCAATCTATTATATCTCACCAGGGGGGCGGTAAACTGAACCCCCCCCCCGAAGTAAAATCATACTCCTGACAAGCAATGTGCCAACCGTGCGTAAACTTCTTGAGCTAAAGCGCATGTCATTATTTCACAAACTGCATGTTGTTTGGATAAATCGCGCCCTGAGCGCTTCCTCCGGGATGCCTTGGCTCCAATTCTCCTCTCCAGCGATCATGCGGGCGGCCATTCTCCCTACCTCGTCGGATAGCATCGCCCCGTAGCCATATCCACCAACCGCAAGGCCAAGTCTGGGCGAGAGCATGTCACAGTAAGGGAGTTCGGTCCGCGTGCGTGTGCACACGCACATGTCCGCTTGGACAGACACTGGCGTGAAGTCTACATTTAAAAGAAAGAACTTAATATTTACTGAGCCCATTCATAACTTAGAGCTTGCGTCTTTGACTGAAAGCCGGTGCAAGATATAGGCCTAAAACAACAGTGTTTTAATTTCATTGAATAAAGATCTGTTAAAGCATCTCTTTATGCGGTCATCAAACCGCGTGATGTACTTTGTTAAAAAACAACATACACATATTATTTTGAACTTGAGCAAAACGAAAAAAAATCACCAATCCTACTACCTTGCTCTAGCCCTTCTCGATTAATATGATAACACTGCCAGTTTTCAGGTATTTGGAGCTCTCACCTTTGACGATACTCAAAAGCAAATCCCGGTATTTTGCCACCAATTTTGGATCGGGCTGAGAGAGAAACCAGTCTTTCACCTCCTTCAAAGTGTTCAGCCTACGCTGGTCCTGGTATCCTGGCCCCAGCTTCAGGTAGTATTTTCCTGGGTAAGTGGGGATGAGAAACACGCCTGTGTATAAGAGATGACGATCAATGCACGGGCAATCTCTCAAATCTACGAGTTTCCCCGCAGAACCTCACAAACTCACACAATTTGGAATTCCTATATATATGATACATAAGGCAAACTTACTTCTGCTACATGCACATGGAAGAGTGAAAGTTGAAGTGTTTCTTCACAACAAACACGAGTGCAAATGCAATCAGCTAATGCATTACAAGCACCTTCGTTTCGATATTAATCTTTGTAAAGCATTTGACAGAAACTAGGTTTGAAAACTATCTCTCAACGATAGGATCTTTGGTATGCTATTTTCGGGTATTTTGTCTGCATCGCTCATATCTGCTCTACTTATCTTATCTTAAGGCTCTTATCTTAAATACGTAATTTTGTACCAAATAAATGTATTGCTTTATGGAATAACCTTGACCTCACCATCCGGGTATCGCACAGGGGGAATTATATAGCAGTTCCATTCCGGGTCAGTGAAGGATGTCATTGTGGGCATCGCTCGAAGCTTCTCCAAATCGCTCTCCCCAACCTCCAGCTTGACCACAAATGTCCCATCGATCCCTAGGTCCAGCTTTTTGGAGGGCGGCAATAGGTTTTTGAGCTGTGTAAAAGCGCCCGTGCACAGGAGCACCTTCTTGGCCGAGAGGCGGCGCCCTTTCTTGGTCAAGAGCTGCAGTAGTGGCTCGCCCTGCCCGTGTTCAAGCGACTCCTGCACCGCCTCAACCACGTCTTCTATTATATCACAGCCTTGGTGGGCGGCTATCTGTTGCTGCGCACGGACAATCATACGAGGATTAGCGTGGCCGGCGTTAGCCACAAACAACATGGCGGAATCGCCGTATTGACTGACGTCCAAGAAAGGATACCTTTCACGGACGCCCTCTGCCGTCAGTAGAACACCTTCCGTCTTGGCAAGTGGCACCGCTACGCTATCGATATTGTTGCCGAACATGATGTGGCCCAATTCCCCGCTGAGTTTTATACCTACGCACACATAAAGGTTTTTTATTGTTAAGTCGTGCTTTGACTAGCCTTTTCCTGACGCCTTTGCGGCCTTAGCAGGCATACATTAGAGCGTCGACGGGGCTTGAGCTGAGGGCGTCATGCACTCCAGCTGACTGGATTGATCTCCGCCCCAATCGCTGCCAGGCCGACTTCGCTATCCTGTCTCAGTGCCGGCCAAGTTACACGAGGGCCTTGACAGAGCCACTTAGGCCTGCAATGAGCTTTCGAAATCCAAGGACTTTGTCGTCATGCATTAACAAAAGAGAAAAACACAAGAAAAAAACTTGCAGTCCCCCGGGGGGGTCCGTCATGGTCAGAGAGTAGCACATGCAAACAGACACAGTGCTTCAATGGCCCCTTCACAGAGCACATCTCCCACAATAATTCTATTACCATCGTGGCTATCCACCCTCGTACCCAAGATTACACAATTACAAGTCATTAGACACGACACATCAACTATGGCAAATATCACCGTTATCCATCATTTTTTGTGGCCCGGCAACATCGCCAGTTCGCACGACGGATGATAAATGCGCACTTGTACCACATCACGTGATCAGTTCACAACCAATACAAATTGACTATCTATGACCATGGTATAACAATCGTACTTCTCAGTGGGCATTACGTCAAGGAGAATGGACAAGGAACTGTAGATTCATGCTAAATCTGGTTTGTGCTGAGCATAAAGTCGAGCCCGTTCTTGTACGAAGCTACAGTTCCGAGTCTATTCTCTGACTTAAACCATTTCCCATTGTTTACGCGAACATGGAGTCTCGAGTCTATGGCGCTCTTGCTGTTAACCCTTCGGGTGAGTATCATAAACACCTTTGTTCCATTCATTAAAGTGCACGGGTTTGGGCTACGTGAAACACTGAGAGTATTCGTGCAGTCAACACCGTCAGTGCTGGATACATACTCCCTTCTCTTCCTCTTGTGCCTTGGATTCATTATTATTCGTGTGCCATCGCAGCGAAACCTATCGGACTGAAACCACCACAGGACTCTATGAAATTGAGGAATGGTGTATCGCATTCACGAGAGTATAGTTAGCACTTTTCGAGCCATTTCGAACCCAAAATGAGGTTCACTGGTCCTTACATGTTCTCATGTATAAGTCATTCTGAAATGCCTACGTACTACGTGTTGCTATTTCGTTTGGAAAATGAGCAACCTTGCAAGGATTCAAATTACGATACAAATTTTGGAGTTAAATAATAAGAATAAAGAATTTCTATAAAGTGCAGATATCCACCTAAAATTGCTTAACACAAGAAAATATACCAGCTTTCTCTTCAAAGCAAGAGAATACAAGTATGTTCATCAGACGTTTGTAATGAAATGAGATTTATGTAATGGACCGTGCACTCATGGAACAGCGATTCTGACACATCTGTCATCTCACGACTGGTTGTTTTAGATTCCTAAAAATAATCTTCACTTTAAACAAAGGAGTGACGTCATAAAAATAGCTTAACAAAATTAATGTTAATACACTGTCAAGTGACGCGTGTCGACCAATAGGAATAGAAAAACTCTCGCATGTATTTATGAATGTTGATTTCCACTGGTTTTGATCGCTGCGGACCACCCGTACAGTACTAGTAGAGAGAGAGGAGGCATTCTTAACTTCAAATGCAGCGATCATGAGAAGTTCCAATACATGCCTTCACCTGCTTGATTAATTAAGCAAATATACTTCGTGTGATTTTCACTTAACGCTGAAACTTGGGCGGTGTACTTATCAATATGGTTTCAAAGATTGTTTGGGAAAAGAAATCGACCCTTGGGTACCATTATTGTCAAATGTCGAAACCAAAACGATGTAGGAATGTTTAACAGGCTATAAAATCAGCACATTGTGATCAACTGGACAAGGGGATCAGGATCGATCTCTTTTGCCCACTGCTGTGCGTTGAAATCCTAGTCGGTACATCACCTGCTGTTGCTTCCAGCTCAGTCAGAGCTTTGAAAGTCCTCATGGTCATCAAACTCCGAAGGTGATGGCTACCCTGGTACTTCCGCACCGCCCGGGCAGCGTCATAGTGAGAGGCGAAGATCTCACAGAAGCGGCGGTCCTGCATGAGTGTTAGCAAAACGCCATTTGAAGAAAAAGCTGTTTGAGAAGAGCCACTCAAAGAATTGGATGTACGGACCTTCCGTGTGGTCGTAGCGGTGGGTTATTTGTTTCCCTGGGATACTGCGTGCTAAATCTTTTCTGCGCTTTCAGTAACAGTTAAGCTTAAATGAAAAAGACCTCTAATATGACTGCAAGGCAGATCCACCATCGAAGCTTCAGGGAGAATCCAGGAATCCAGGAATTTCTTAATGTAAGGCTTAACCTTGTTTGAGGGGTGTGTTACATGTTTTTACTTGCTTCTGAAAGAAGGGAAATTATAAAGTCCCCGAAGCGCCTTTTTTCCTTATTATTTTAAAACAGAATTGCCCCATTTCGGGAAGACTATTCCCCCCTGCCCCGAAATCCGCCAATGGATAGCCATGACTTCTACATGATATCTAAAATAACCTAACATTCAATTTCAACGCTGTTTTGAATGGTTCGTTCTTTCTACATTCTTTCCTTTCTTTGACGGACTTCCAGAAATTACCGAGATTCAGTTTATGTCCTACCTCTTGACTTGGCTCAGTCGGTCCAATCAGACACACCTTGCGGCCAGGCTTCGAGGCATGTCTTGCCGCCGACGAACCCCACAATCCGGCCCCCACGATACAAATATCGTACAACACCATGCTTGGCCGTGACTGCGAGCTGTTATGTCATGCAGTCGAACATTCAGTCGAACATAAAGTAAACAATATTAAACTTTGAACCTATGTGTCCATTGTCCACTGTAATGATTGCTATCACAGTTCGCGCTGACGCTGAGATTACTGGGGGAGCACAGGGCTAAATGTGTTCCAAAGGTCAATTCCTTTCATCATGCGTCGACTAAAAAAAAACACAAATTTCCTCCTCAGTTTTGACAAGAGCATACTAATTTTATTCAAATCTATTTTCCACCAGCAAACATCGTTTAACGGGGTTAAAGTTCAATCTGCAGGCCTGCTTGATTCCAATAATGTCAAACACACTTTAGCTTTCAGCGAAATGTCGGATTCTTTCAGCGAAGTGCCGGATGGAGCTGTAAATGACCTAAGGCAATACGGTACATTACCTGAAGGGAGGGGAGCGGCCCCGTAAAAACTCCCCCTCCCCCCCCCCCGAGGAAAGCCCAGCTAGGTAGCAAATGGGGCAACTGCCCTCCTGTGGGAACTTTCGTCTCTATTTTACTCCCCCCCAATCTGGCCACTGACACCACGAGCGGAACCAAGAGAGGGCGCAATTTTCCAATTTCTCTCGCAATGGCGGTACTGCTGATGGGAACTGCACCTAGCTTGCTGGTTCATATACGACTATAAATGCACACGCACGTTGCGGTCGCGTAGCTATCAACAAAATAAGCACTCTTCACTCCACTTCATGGTTTTGGCTCTTTTCAACTTACGACGGTGTGCTTCTGCTCAAGGTAGACTGGTTCCCGTCCCGTACGTAGTCTCAAGAGGTCTTACAGACGTCCTCCGAACGTAGGGGCCGGTAGTGGCAGAATCCTGCCGGTTTTATGTAAACGAGAAAACAAAGCCAACCCAATGCACAAATCAAGTAGGAGCTGATAGAATATTTCGTCTTTTCTTCGTCCAATCCAATCGTCTCAGTCCAATCCTGTGTCCTTTCTGATTAATTCAAGAACGGCAAGACATAAGACTCTATATACATGCTTAGCTGTGAGAGATGCTGAACGACGGTATGTTTACTTGTTTATCTAAAGGACATGTGTGTATTTTTATATGTACATGTATGTGCATATTGTTAAGTCAAAATATCAGTGATTCAGGTTGTATGGCCAACCTGTGATTCAAGACAACTGAAATACCTATTAGACTTGATGACAAGTCGTTTGATGTGTTTTGTCCGTCAGCTTGACCAAAATTCACCACCGTGAAAGCTATGTAGGCTATATACATGTCTTCAAACGCGGAAACGTCTCAGATCAAATGACTGGGTCTGTCACCGCTCTATTACAGCAAAAAGGAGTGTGTTCAAGGCCTGGTAATAACTTCGTTTGCTCTTTCTTGTCCCCCCCCCGGACTTTGACTCTTCTCTCTGTGCCCCGCCCTGCAGAGAGTTGAGTTTAAAACTATCGGGCAGCGTTTGAGTATGGAAGCCGTATAGGGGCACACGCAGTTTTTCAAAGTGGTATTTCGCTGCGGAAGATAATAACTTTTTGTCATGTGGCCCGCATGTAAATACACTTCATTATTAAAACCTTTCCACAGCGCGCTTCTGGCGTGACCTTTATCATTCTACCTGAGCCACCTGTGCTGAGGGCTGAGGGATGTGTGTCAGAACCTGGTCCTTCTAGCTGCTGTTTGCCACTAAGATTTTATCTGTGCTTGCGTCAGAGCTCCATGGTCAGAGTACAGAGTCACACAATTTCTGTCAGGCTGGGCGCGCTGGTGACATTGATTTGTCTTGCAGAGTTTTGCTTTGTGTCGTAACATTCGACGATCGGGAACATCCATGAAGCTTCGTCAGTCCCTGCTTGACAAGGCTGCGGTGCTTGTCCTGTTGCTAACATCAGCCGCTGAGGTAGGCATTCGTACATTCATGTTCTAGAACAGTGGGTTCGTCGTCTGCTACGCTTTGTGTAGCGAAGTGGATGACGAACCCCGTCGCATGCATGTTATCATTCATCTAAAGCAAGATATGGGACAGTAGAGAACCCCACACACACACAAGTGTGTATTTGCCTGCAACTGGGGACCCCCTATTGCTCCTCTTTTGTTTGTACTTTAACTTTTTTACAAGACCACCCATATGTTTTGTACACAGTTGTCAATCGGGGACCCTCTGTCAATCGGGGACCTTATTTTCCTCTATCGTTCAAGGTCCCCAATTGAATGCAGAAACAAACTCACACGTACACACACCTTTTGTGCTGGTCATTGTTTTACCAGAATCTCAAGAAGTCTTTTCAGATATCCAGAGGGGATATGTGTTAGGTAACAATAGCCTAGAGTTTCTTCAGGGTTTGGACAGGTGGGGGCGCTACCCCCTCCGTTCCATATCTTGCTGGGTATATTCTCAGCCTTTTTCCCCTCGTTTCACAGTGCTCACTCATCTTCAGAGACATCAAACCTGTGCAAAAGGTGGACCGAGAACCCAATTTTCTGCAGGGCGCAAACTTGCTTTCGAGGAATTGGGGCAATTTGTTCAACCTTTTATGGCCTCTCTAAGGGGTGATGCAATATTTGAGGACTTTTTACACGCTTTTGAAAGGAGGGAAAAATGAAATACTCCAAAGAATCGCCTTTCATCATTTTTCATAAAAAGTGGCTCCATTTGTGGGGGGATGGCCCTAGCTGTTCCTCCGCTCCGTTCTAAACCCCAGTCTGTAATAAATCAAGATTTACGATCCAATATACCCGCAGAGATTCAATCTGCATAAACATAAATTGGTTGAAACCCGCATTTATTCGGTTGCGTTACTTCTGGTTATAAACAATATTTTAGTTAGACCTGGACCAGTGGGTTGGTCCATTTTCATGAGTTTCGGCATATTGATTACCTTGACCAATCGTTTGGTCAAAACCTTGAATAGCTGATAACAAACTAAAGCCAGTGGATTCCAGCCCCCCCCCAACTCAAACGTCCCTTGCCATATTATATGAAAGTTGGCATGAATATAGAAACTCTCCTTATCAGTATACAAGTGAAGTTTTTACTTATATAGTTTTTTGTTGCGGTCATTTGAAGTTCAATGCAGCAAGTTAAGTGGACAGGTATACAGGCCTAAACCTTTTTGGCTGACCTGTCTCAGAAAACTGCAGCCGCTTTGCGAGAGAATACTTTGATTTTTCAGACAAGTGGTATCAAAATCACACTCCCCAGAGCTCTGCTCGTGGAAAAAAAAGCTATGCAGCAATATCAGAAATACTCTTGAGGGAGGCAGGTTACGCCCCGGATCATTTAGGGTTGGGTCGATACCGGCGGAATTGGTTATTTTTAACCGAACTGTCGGTTAAATGTAACCGATGACAAGAGCTAACAATTTTGATCGTTTTCATTAAGTTTACCAAAGCTTTGATTACATATTGACCATAAAGTATAATGGCCTTGCCCCATAAGGATTAAAGTTTGACCAACCATAACGTAGCTTTCATGTGATCAGGGCATGACTATCATGTGCACAGCCATTGCGCAGAACTATTACAAGCAGTGCCAAGGCCTAAATTGTTGCCTGCTGCGTTGGGTCCATGGTGTTTTGTGCACACGTAGATCCCGTTTCAACAGGTAACAGTACTGCTGTAGATTTTACGAACACAAGGGAACGAAGTGACATAATTTCTACTGCGTCACAATGCGCTTCACTGAAGTTGTCTTCGCCGACGAAATGATTGTCAAAGAAATTCAATTAAATTGCATAATTGGCGTGGATTTCCGACGATATTTCCAAAAAGCTATCAAATTCTGTCATGCATGGGTGATATCTGAAATAGACTGTCTCCGCTCTCCCCCACCATGACTATGGAGGTCCAAATTCGGAACTCCGTTATTCACACACGCACAGACCACCACCGTGGAAACGACACTTTCAATCCCGGTGGAGATCAAGGTAAGAGGGGTACATCACTCATGAAACACGGTGAGCATTGCTCATGTTCTCGCCGGATCCGGTACATGCGCGTTTGTTGCTTATCACGTGTTGATGTTCGACCAATAACTTAAATGCCACTTTATTACCATGGTATGACTATAGACTGCGAGATGGTCACATAATTCGGAGAAGATTTAACGCTTGTGAGTACAACGCAAGAAAATCACGTAATTGGTGTGGTCATAAATGTCATTCTATTCGTCTGATATGATTTTTACCACCGTTAATCCAAACAACGATGCAGTCCCGGCAACAACGGGTATTGGTTGAACCCCCAACACCTCACCGCCTCCTAAAAAAGAAGGAATAACATAAACCCTTGAGGCTACCCTGTAACTACAAGTAACTGTTTTTTTCCTGTCAAAGCAAAGATGACGCGGAATGAACGTGAAAAGGCGTCCACGCACTCTTGCTGGTTTAAGCCAGGAATTCAGAGTAAAAGATTCTCAACCGGATAAAGACGACACGGCACTTCAATTGTTGGATAGCTTTAACTACCAAAACTGGTTAACAACCACCAAAGAAGTTGTTCCACCAATCAATCAAAATTGGCTGAAATAGGGATGAAACCCTGTAATCTTTGGTTCAGATGACCCACTGTTATTGATTCTAATGTAGCCATTCCGTATTGGTAACGTCTAATCCAAAAAGCATGTATTAGCTGATTTTATTTAGCACTAATACTCGGTTAAACGCTAACTAATGGCCTTTGGGTCATTTTGACAAAACCCATACAACAGCACACACAACGGCTGATAACATGACGTAATTAGTACATGCTTTGATAATCGATTGTAAAATAGTGTAATAACCAGATTGTAATGTTGCTCTCTCTCGCGGTTTCTATAGCAGAAACTAGGGTTCTTAATGACATGCAACAAATGCATAAACTGTCTGGACTTTAGCAATGTAAAAGTTTCATACCTTCGGTGCATCCTGTAATTTAACGCAATTGCTTCCTATTACCAAATACCGGCCTAAATAATGCCATTTGGGGCTGCCCACTGTTATAGTCGGCCACACATTTACGGGTATACAAACTGTACCGGGAACGTATTCAGCAAATTCTCTCCCGGCAACGCATGTATAGAGATTATAATACAGGTAGTATTCATAGACGTTGGCAAGAGAGAAAAGCCAGTTCATTCATGCATTACATGCCCTGTAAGGGACTAGTAGATGTAACGACTGCACTGGAAACAACATTCAATTATATCCACCCTGGCAGAAGCACCCCCTCATCGGTTGAAAAGAGCCATGTTGGTCGGGAGCGTTCATTTTGTTGGTAGCGATGCGACTGCAACGCTTGCGTTTCATGGTCGTTCGTGAACCAGCGAAGCGCAGTTACAACCAAAGGAGCCTCCGTTACTAAGAAAATTGCGCCCTCTCTTTGTCCAGCTCGGAGCCCATAGTCACTAGAAGTTTTCCCTCCTTCATTACCGTGTTCTGTTTCAGCAGTGTCCACTTAACGCATCTTATGTTTATCGTGATGTCTTTTGTTTACAGGTTAGCGTACAGGGGGATGCATCGTGCACTGGCATAAGTAAGGATGTGGCCTGTAAAAAGGTGAGCGCTTGGGAGACTTGTCACGACCTGATTGAAGGTCACGGGCCCGAGAGGGATGTGATTGGTTACTCGGCCCGTCAGTTCTGTCTTCGTCGTGTCAAAACTTTGGAGAATTCAAGGGAGATGAAAAACGGACTTAGTCCATATAATCAGGCTACACACATGCCTAGCCTCTCGAACGTCTTTGCCCAGCGAGATCTGCACTGCGCTTACTACAAAGAAGGTCGTGTTAGTTACAGACCCACTTTAGAATAAATGTTTATTTGCAAGACTTGCAGTGGATATGTGTACCCTTTATGAGAAACAGAAAGAGGGGAGGCACGAAGTAACCCTTCGTTTTCAATTTAGGTTATACTTTGTGAATCTGTATTTTGTTCTCGTATAGGCGAAGTTAATTTTTGACAAGGAGGTTTATTTGCCCTTGGCATGTGAGAAAATTAGCGCCATGCCAGGCCTTTTAGCTACTTTGAAAATGGAATGGTGAAAAAGGGAGCCATCTTCTCCGACAAATTGACCTTCTGTGTTCCCTTTTCCTGATCTAGATATGGTTACCATGGGTAACATCCGGCGACATGCTTAGTGGCATAAGTAGTTGTTCATACACACTGACGTAATCATCAACGTCTGCTGCTAAACTCTTTTGCAAACAAGTTACTAACCTTTTGCTGTTGCTGTTATGTTAAAGGTTTATTAAAAATCACATTGCAACTAAATAGTTGAATTGAGTGATCAGTTAAAAAGGAAGAATCAAACACTTAACATGTAACATTAAAAACACTACAAGAGGTCAATTGTTAAAAAACATACATTTCGAAGAGAGACTAAAAATTGACAAGAAGAGAGGATTAAAAATTAGAATTTAAAAATAGAATTAAAATTAGTTAAATAATTGATCATTTAACAACTGAATAGAGAACAGAACTGGACTGTTAAGATACCGTTTTGTGACCCATTTAGGGGTAGTAAGTTCATTTGAATTCCTAAGATCCCGATTGTGTTGATTCCTCCTGGTTGCTGGCAGCCACTGACGGAATTGATTGGAGTGATAGGGTAGGCTAGTAAAAGTATGACTTAATGAAATCCTAGGAGATAGGAGAGTTGGAATATTGCACAATTTCAAGGCATCATCACAGCTGGTATAATCACTACCAAATGCCATCCGGGGTGCACGTTTCTGGATTCTCTGCTAACCCGCGTTAACGTGAGAGTAAATTCCAGAGGTTTATTTCATGGCTCTCATTTTGCAGTGCAGTGAAAGTACTCACAAGTGTATGCCAGGTGAGGTGCCTATCGACCCTTGGTTGGTAGCCGCGGCCAAACAGCAACGAGAGCTACAGGTGAGTTCACACAGATGCGTACTACTGTTTGAAGGGGGCGTCATTACCAATTTTCATAAAGCAGATTTACATTTACGTGAGTTACAAATTAACATACTGAGTGCCAAGTCCAAAGCAAAAGCAAAAGATTACAGGTATTTATCAGCGTTCAACATCCCCAGTCACTCATTGTGACCTCTCCAACTTAACCGTGGCGTATTACAATGATACTTGTAATTGATCTCTGACTGACAAGGCTATACAGCGCTATAGAATCGGCAAGAAACGGCATCGTTTTCCCAGCGAAGAAACGACAGTCAGCCCAGGTAGCCAAAGTCACGCAACCAAACCCTACAGTTCCGCGATTGAACGAAACTTTCCAACTCATTTTGTTAACATTTTGAAGGTAGTTGCCGTTTGGAATGCCTTGGTCAGGCTTGGTGTAAAAAGTTGTTTTAACGACAACATGCCTGCCATTTTTACTTTTCAGAGTGCAGCAAATACACATACCGGTAATTGGGGCGACACATTCACAACAAGGCATAATGAACGACGGTCAGTTGGCCTATGCAATATGGACAGATAACAGATTCGTAACAAGTTAGAAACTGAAAGCGAAAGATGCTACATGTACCAATTATTATTTTGAACAGGGGCCAGTGGACGCCACCTTGGTCTTTGCCCCTTCAGCCTAACTATATAGTCCCTCCCCTTGATAATGCTAGCATAAATAGTTCATCGACAAGATGTTATTGTCTCTTATCTTTTATTCATCGACAAGATGTTATTGTCTCTTATCTTTTATCCGGACAACAGAGTCTCTAAATGCAAACATCATTGCCTTTTGACAAAATATCGCCACGTCCATCGTTTATGGGCTGAGAACTGAACGAACAGCTCTTCTAGTATTAAGTCCTACGATGTCAAATTTCTAGGGCTTGTTAACTTTAAGGTATCAAGAGTGGAATCCATGGATTCATTATCGTATTAGTTGAGCTTTCAACCACAGATATCATGTTGTGACTTTTTAAACAAATAGACTGTTTTAGCCCAACAGTTATAAATCTCCTACTAAATCCACATACAGAACCAAACTTTTTCAGATCCCTTTGACACTTCCCTTCATTTTTATTTACCGTGTCTTTCACTTTGTTATACGTGTGTCGCTTTTTGCATGATCAAATATGTTCAACTTACCTTTTGTTAAAAGTGCTTTGATAAAATATTCAAATATTTAGTTAGAACAAAGTCAAATATAAGAGGTTTTCTGCTTGTTTTCTTCTGACAGATTGACGAGCCTTGGGATAGGCTCCAAATGCTTGATGTAAGTAAGCAATGTCTCTATTATAACAGTCTTTTTATGACTCAGATTAGTTGACTTTACGGAGGAATTTCCTGTCTTCAGACTTCTGTCAAGATTATCCTTTCATAAGGCTACTTTCTATGCGGTGTTTAACTTCGAATGCATATATTTCGAAGCCTGTAGTTCTCTCAAAGAAGATCAAACGACACAGAACTAAAACCGTAAACATGCGTGTTCCTTTTTGGTATTTGTTTTTATTCGACAGGCACACAATGGTTACAATGCCAGAGCTTGGGGATTCGGAGGTATGTTCACTAGACTGATCTGACCTAGTCTACCTCATCCACAGACAAACAAACACAGCATCACGTGACAGTTCGTATTTTTACTATATTTTACTGACACCTCAAAAAGACAATATTTCGCATGCAGCCTCGTTATGAAAAGGGCACTGATCCCTGAAGCTACGGGACCATGAAAAGGTATACCCAGACGGGTGTTTCGGCGCGAAGTGTAAACCATCTAACTACAATCCTGGACAAAATTGTTGAGGCAATAGCCATACGCTTTCCAGCCCCACCCTCACTCCACCGGTCAATGTTGTCATGTCCAACCGGAACGCAGACTGCGTGCCTATAAACCCAACATTGTGTCTACCGTGCCGTTTGGCGTGTGTTTTCTGGCTTTGTGGAAAACAAAATTGACAGCCGACTGCTAATTGTAGAAAAATCTATATATTAGAGAATTTGTACGAGAAAAAACAAGATAAATATCAATTTTGTATTGCGCGTGTACAGTCATAACTGCTTTGCAGGAGTGCGTAGTAGAAGATGCACCATGGCATTGCTGCCCACAACTGCAAAATTGATGTGTTTCGTTAATTAATGTGAAATGCCCATACAGAAACAACTTACGGTGTCCATTACGCCGTTGTCATGCACAGCAACTAGGTAAATATGGAATGGTCAGTACTTGTATTTGATTTTTGGAAACTTTTGAGAAACGACAGGTACATGATTAGAAATGAAAGTAAATCCGCATCAATCCTTTATACTGCATTCGATCCTACAAAAATTGCCCTGTGGGTTCGTCGCCCAGGGACATGAAAAGAGATGTGGTGAGGGAAAAATCCAAAGGTTATGCGGTGTTGACCAAGCATTCACGTGCACGGACTCCTGAAATTCGCAAGGAATCGCAGTTACCGGCTTCCATGTAGGACTCTTTCTGAGTCTCGGGCCCACTGCACTTCCTCCCTACCCATCCATTTAACCCCAAAACGTTCGAGCGACTATGCAAGGGAGGAACGAGACAAGCCCCTAAAGCCCTTGGCCGCCGAGTCGGCCATACGTCTCGAACCTGTACTAAGGTGCTCACCTGGACTTCGCGGATAGTCCCAGCAGAAGAGCTTACCTCGTGGGCTAAGGTACTGTTGGTATTTGACGGGGTAAATTAGAGTCTCTTATAGCTACTGACTGACAACGAGTGTTGGGAAATAAAACACCACCCTTAGGATTCGAACCCACCGTCTAACGATCTGACGACTGCGAGCTTAACCACTCGGCCATCTCAGAGATAGTGGTTTTTGTTATTCATATCAAAGAGATAACAAAATCATTAACCTTACTGCACAGAATGTTGCTGTGTGATGATTGAGTGATTAAAACGCTGCTATTAAAGTGCATCATGGAGCAAAAGCACACATTCACACACACACAATGGTCGTCAACATTAAATTAAATGTTCCCCCCAACAGCTTATAATACTATTTTTAAATGAACACACATCAATATGGGCAATTCGACTGAAATCGTCATGACGGCTGAATTAAACCTTTTAAGCCGCTCGTCTGTTACCAACAAATCTGGGGCTTATGAATAGGGCTACCCCCTTTATCGATACTTATAACCTGCTCTTTTTTCTCCATGGATCATGAAAGTAACCGACACGTGCCCCTGGCCTCCACCCTACCCGATGGACTGTAACAACTATGCAAACCAAGAGTTCAGCTTTATGGATCTGCTGAACATGGGCATCCGTGCGCTCGAGATTGACAACTGGTTCTGCTATAATGAGGTACGGGCTTCAAAGTAAGCTCTTTCAGAGTGGTGGCAGTACATTAATTGATTGGTCTCCAAACTCCGATTTCGTCCCAGATGAGGCTCCGTTAAAGGTCATTTAAACCGCAAAGACCTTTTTGTGACTTCCACAGATGCGCATGGCGCACTTAGGCGATACCATCGATCTTGAATGCAGTGAAACCGACCCCCTTTTTTCTGACGGCATCAAGGAGATCGCTGATTGGATAAATTTACCTGGCAACGGAGAGGAGATGGTTCGGATCTACATGAACGTAAGTCTCGAAAAAAAATCAGAGCACGTAATTTTTTCAGAATGTTTTAATTCTTGCTTGCCAGATATTTTACGATTGTGTCCGTTTTGTTTGGTGTATTGTTTGTTGCTTGAGCCCATGTGGACTGGATTTGGTTGGCTTGCGGTCCTGTGTGCTCCTGTAAACGAAAGATTTGGGGAAGGCTGAAGGGTTTCCATGATCGGTCTACTTAATTATCATCTGTGCTCATCTTCGAGTATACAGCTCTCCCCGGCACGTATCCGTTCTCAAACACAGTGACTCGCCTTTCTAGGGGGCATGAAGGTCATAATTCACCCTGGAAGGAAGAATCGAAGGTTTCTGACCTTCATCGGTCTACTTGCTTCATAGTCTCAGTCACGGGAAAAAGAATTGGCAGAAGGAGAACACACATCTGTTGCTTTATTATTTTAGGAGAAATATAATCAGGGCAATGACGATTCTGTCAACGACCCATTGGAGCAGTACCTGGGCGATCGCATACTTACCCCGGCAGAACTGGCAGACACATACGGTGGGAAGTGGCCAACACCGAGGCAAATGAGACAGGTAATATAGCAGGATCCTTCGCACTTGCGTGGGGGCTTTGTCCCATTGATAATAACTTACGTAAGGATCGTCCAACAATGAACAGGCTAAATCCAATGATAAGTCGAATTGGCGGCACCCATGGTTGCGCACACGACGGTGTGAGCTTTTAACAGACCTCTTCGACGAACATTAGAGATTCCTAATAGTGCGCCTCCAAGAGTTTGCAATGCGTTGGCCAATCACAATGCGCAACATCTGTCGACCCTTTCCAAAAGCGCATTTAGTCGACAGATTTCGCGCATTATGATTGGCCAGTACGTTGCAAAGTATCCGAGGCGCACTGTTGTGAATCGCCCGTATTGGGTGGGTGTTGTGATTTGCCTGAATGCGCTCGCCACAGAAGTTTAGTAATCTTGGTTTCAAAACATTTTGTTTTAATTGGTTCCACAATCTGTTTGGTTCTGAACTACAATTGTGTTTCGCCACCTTGTATCAATTCCATCGGATTTCTTGGCTGAATGAAGTACGTGGTCATCTGTCTGTAAACTGCGCTCTGTTAATCCATTTTTTTTGGGGGGGGACGTGCAACGATGTAGATACACGGGTAACGAACCTCGATTAGGTAGGTCTTGTGCCAACACCGTAAGTTTAAGTACGCATGCGTCGTGGTATCATGACAATAAGTGTGCTTCGGATAGGTCCTCAAGATATGTCCTCGGATAAGTCGTTAGATACCTATAAGTGGTACATATACTTTCACATTTCAAAATAGCATTTAGAATTTTCTGGGTGTTGATTGTCAATCCAAGAAGCCGTAAAAGAACGATCAGCGGGAAGAAACTGACGCCATGGCTTCACCTAATCCAATTATGCTTACCAATAGGCGGGAAAGAACGTAGTCGTTGCAACGGGCAGTACCGCAGGATCGGGGGAAGTTTATCCCCATGGAGGAAAGTACATCCACAAGATTTACTGGGAAGACAAGCAAATGAGACTGGTAAGGTGTTTATCATCCAGCATCTTGATAGGTGTGTGTAATATTGTGGCGCAATAGCAGTTAGCGTGTTTATTCTGAGCCGTAGAGTTAGGCCCAGGGCTTATTCCCAGACGTTGGCAGGGCCCGATGTGCGCTATGGCTGGTGGCGCCAGGCTGGCGGCCCGCGAGATATATAAGTGCGATCGCGCGCTAAGTGGGTCAGTTCCCTTGCAGTCAGACCCATGTGCCATGGCAGTTCCAACGCCGTCCCGGTTGGTTTCTGTTGCCGTATGGTTCTAGGCTATACCCATAAGTGAGCGACTTGCCGGGGGATCTTTAGATTTAATATGACTCATTCGGGGACGAGTTTATACGGGTTTAGTTTATATTATCCATCCACGGGGTGGTAGTCTTACGGAGAATTTGGTGGATGTAGAACAAGTTGTGCCCGTAGCTTACACCTGTATAGGGATCACGACCCGTATAGGGCCAAGACCTGTCTAGGAGATTGCCAGGCCAGGGCCTGCGGAGGTTGCAACATTAGTAGCACCTGGACAGGTGCGATCAATCATTAAACCAGAGTCAACTCAGGCAGACGTGTCCGTTTGTGTCTGTTGTGCCCCCGGAGTCCCACCCTGTCCTCAACCCCAGTGCACGCCTGTGCTGCTCTCCTGCTGCACCTGGCGGTAGACTGCTCTAACACGGGCCTGCCTCAGACTAGACCGCTCGCTGACGTCGGCCGAGGACGACCTGGGGTTTTGTCGGCAAGACTGCCACAATATTCACAGAATAATGCCGTGCAGATATTAGCCATTAGGCAGAAATTGTTAACAATGCACGTGATGTGATGGCACTTATGATAGGAATGTGTTTATTTGTCTTTCAAGTCTCGGTATACATGGAAACTGTTTCGAGTCAGTGGGTGTTTATACTATAGACTCAGGTTTTCCCGGTGAACTTTCCCAGATTGTCTGATCTGTAGTTGCAGTACTGAATTACAAATACAGAAAGTAAACTTTTAACCTCTGCTGAGTTTAAGCTCAGGTCAATTTATGTTTCATTCGAGTGCCCATCGCATTATCAAATGTGGCTGAAAACCACGTTTTGATAATAACTCGGTATAGCAAAGGTCAGAGGTTTACAGAGGTTTTCGTCCACTATCCGATCCAACTCACTCACTCGCGGTACCAACTCACTGCGCAGGCGCGATAGTAATGTGCGCGTTTGACGCAGAGCACGCTAAGTACGCGCAACGAATTTAATTTCGGAATGTCGACAAGAATAGGTTAACAAGGTTAAATCAGTGCTCTGAAACATATGAGTGCCGAGCTTTCGGTAACTGAGTACCTTCTTCAGAGCAAGCAGATTCTTTAGGTAACTGAGTACCTTCAGTTCACTCAGTTACCAAAAGCTCTGCAATCATATATTTCAGAGCACTGATTTAATCTTATATTCTTGTCGATATTCTGATCACGGTGCTACGCAGCCTTTCCATATTTCTTTAATTTCGGAATGTATCCGGTTCGTAAGTGTGACGTCATTTCAGTTTAAACCAAGCCCACTGCACATGCACTGCACATAGAGTTACATGCATTGATCTCCGTTAACGTGGAAGCATGGAACCGGAAGTTAACGTGCAACTTTAGCGATCGTCCAATGGAAGCCTGCAAATCATGGCGCGTCCGCCTTTGTGACGAAGTCACTTACGAACTGAATGATCTTTGCATACACGCAGAACGCGTGCAAGAACCCAGTTGTAACCAAAAATTGTTTAGCGCCGCGCAGCGGCGCTATACAATCTTTGGTTGTAACCACCTGTCTTTCTTTCGCCAATTGGGGGTGCCCTTCAGCTCGGGGCGGATACCACTGAGAAGGGTGAATAATTATGTTATGCTGAATAATTCTGTTAAATGCACTCTTTGAAAGAACTGCTTTCACTTTTTTTTTCAGTTCACAAATTATCCCGAATGTGGCACCAAGAACCTCACAAACAAGATTCGATACTACAGCGATGCCACCCACTATGGAAATAGCACACAGTAAGATTTACCCTTCCATCTTTGACATAGACTCATCATCCGATTTGGATGTTGCATTTTTAAAAATTATTAACAGGTTATAAGTCGTAGAGACAATACCGTGAGTGCGTAATGCACTGACACCGTTAGGCCTAATTGCTAAAGAGGGCGGTGTTATCACTCACCATTATCAATTATTTTCGCTATTTTACATACTTTCAATATTGAACACGCATTTCCTATCGACATGAGCACAAGGAGAGCACTTGGTAAAATCAATTCATCATGTTAATAGGTGGGATCAAGCCGGAACGTGAAGTCTTTATTGACCCCTGCTGCACCCCATGCAGCGAGTGCCAACGGCGTGACAAGTGAGCTCCGTGATGAGTTGATATCCAACATCCATTCATCATCCTACCATCACTAAAACAATGGAATTTCAACAATGCTGGCCGGACCGGATATCAGGCAGAATTCATTGAAATATCCTATACAAAAGGGCATCGACCAAGAGTGCTATCCAAGCTTGTATCTACAGGCCTAGGCCTAAATAATATAACCACTGAGCCATTTCATTGAGCATGATTTGGAAAAGGCAGCAACAGCAACACGGCTGGAGCAAAAACCATTTATCACCCCCACGATACACCCCTCTCCATCTCTTCGAAGAAAATTCATCCACTGTACGACTTGTCATGGTCTTGTCTTAAATCTTGAGACTTTTAATGCTCACGCTCTGCACTGATGACATGGGAGTGGATGCATCCCTCTAGCTACTTGTCGCTGGTAATCCATCCCTATAGGCCCTTGTTCAGCGCTACGTTTTCTGCAATGGCAACCCACCTTTCACGCGATACCATCTCTTTCCTTTTCTACATGTAGTTTGAAACACGATGGACCAAGCAACGGAGCGGGAGTCATATATGACTTTACGGAGTTCGTCAAGTGCAGGGTGCAGTACCCGGCTACCGATATGATCACCCCCGACCTCATTAAGACTGCCCTGTTTACCTGGGCTGAAGGGCAGCCAGACCCTGAGCTTACCTCGGAGTCCTGCGTTTGGGTCAGGTAAGCTGTGGGACTATATGACACTGATCCAGATGAACACTGTAGCGCCATATCATTTGAACATAATGGAAACAAACACAGGTAGTGCACAAAAGCACCAATAAGGTTTGTACGCATCAGGAAAGTAAAAGAACCATTAAGAGCGCCTTTCCTGCATACGCGTGTCAGCACTTGTGCAAAGCATTGCGCAACGTATATCCGGTTCGTAAGTGACTTGGATGGACGCGCCACGATTCGCAGGCTCCCATTGGACGATCGCGGAAGTTGCGCGTTAACTTCCGGTTCCATGGTTCCACATAAACGGCGATCAATGTACATGTATGTAACCCTACGTGCAGTGCACGTGTGCCGTGGGCGTGGTTTAAACTGAAGTGACGTGACACTTACGAACCGGATGGGGCCGAACGCAACGCACACGTGTGTGTCATAATGTTAAGTTACTGTCAAAGTGCGGCCTTAAACTTCTTCGTTACGCCAAAAATGATTCTCACAAGATATAGGATCTTCCTATTACACTTGCCACCACACTCAGAGATCGTCCACAACACATTTTACACAATCCACCAACAGTCACTTCGATGCAGGTCTCACGCGTTCTCCCTTTTATGTTACAACAGCCGCACGGACTGGCGATGGTACGTTTCCGAGGACTGCTCCATTGAGTTGTACTGTGCATGTCAAAGCACAACGGACCCGGATGACTGGAAAATCAGCTCATCTCCTGCCTCCTATAGCTCAAGCAGTGACGCCTGCCCAACTGGGTACAAATTCAGCGTGCCTCAAGACGGTTTTAGACACCAAAAGGTGAGCCGACATGGGCTTAGTCCTTAAGTCTGAGGTCGTAGGCCTAATGGCTACAGGAAAACGATGAATCGGTCATAGTTGGGATAACAGGAGCTGTCCCACAAAAGGAGAGTGGTCACAATCATCGTTTCTATATGCACTAACATTCACTTTATCTCTCCAAATGCAGCTGAAAGACGAGTCGGGGGGCAACTCCGTTTGGATTAACATCACACCCTGGCTTCCAGAAAAGGAATCGGCAGCGCCCTCTGTGGGCCAATTGTCGTCTACAGCTTTGCTTATGAGCCTCCTACTCGGCAGTTTCTTGCGCTATTGAAACACGTGGCAGATTCGACAAGAAATTTATAAAATAAAGTACGACCGAACGAAAATAAAGGATGACGTTAATAACTGCACACTACAAAACAGGAAATGGATGTTAGTAGCACCCGCATTGCCATTATCTGTGGGATTTTGAAACAGAGAAACCTTTCGGACTCTAGGCGTTTGTACAGTTCATCAGAAATAAATTAGGATGTTTCAGCACAAACCGACTGATGCCATGACATAGTAAAAGTAATCAAAGCCAGGAAGCTAACATACATCCCAACAGTGTCTCTGGCTTTCTGCCCCATAGATAATTTTAAAAAATCAATATTATATCATTACAAACTTCGAAGCCGGCATGTACAAGTGTCACCAGGCATTGTATAGGTTGACAAATTGCAGTTTGTCGCTGTACGTGCATGGTTCCTGTTTTTACAGTTCGCACTTAGGACACAATAATCAGTAGAAATAGGATTGTAAAGTAACACCGATTTTTGTCTTCAGGTTTTTGTTTTTTGTTTTAGTTTGCCAGAACTACCCACAGAAACAGTCTAAGACTAATTTTAATGCACATTGCGCGTATTTTATCAAGAGTGCTGCTATAGATCATTTTAAATAGGGGGTGAGGGTGCCATCATGACATTTGCACCCCGACCTAACACTTAGGTGACCTTCCCCTTCCCCGGCCATTCTTTCCGGCAGCATCATGATTTCGCCGATGAAACTAACTAATGCTTGCGTAACACCCCCCTCCCCAGCGACGCCCGTAGTTTTCGTTTTCGCAAACCATGTGTTTTGTGATTTCAGTGTTAAAGTTAAATCCCACAACCCGTTAAGCCGTCAACTGACAATTCTAGGCCTAAAAATGACTTTAGGCATATTGAAAGTATCTCAAAGAAAACTCGAGAAGTCGTAGCAAAGCTATCGCACAGAATAAACCAGCCAATAAGCCTTTTGCGAGTGACCTTGAATGAAATCTGGTACTCTGAGATTTTAAGTTCACGAAACATACAATTTGAATTCTCCACACTAAAAACACTGTTGCTATACCTCGTGATTCGGGCAAGCTTTTGCTTAGTTACGTAAGCGACGCCTTGCAACAATACACTATTCTCAATGGAAAAGAAAGGCACAAAGGAACCAGTCCATTCCAGAGATGGTCCCTGTGCAAATGCTTGCCCCGAATCACGAGGTATACCAACAGTGTCCTAAGTATGGGGAATTAAAATTGTGACGTTGGTGTACAATCAAATGATAACTCAGTGTACCAGATTTTATTCGAATTTAATTTACAAATGGCTTATTAAAGATGTATTCACCGGCAAATAATGGTGCAAACAAAGTTGTAATATAGGGTTGCCACAAATTTAAGTTTTGCTTTGTTTGGTACGGCACAGGTCGTACTGAACCAAAATCAGAATAAATGGTGGCTGTATATTCAAGTCGTAACAAAGCAATCTTACAATACGGGCGATTCACAATAGTGCGCCACAAAGAGTTTGCAACACGTTGGCAAATCACAACGCGCGAAATTTGTCGATCCTTTCCAAACGCGCATTTGGTCGACAAATTTCGCGCATTGTGATTGGCCAACACGTTGCAAACTCTTGGTGGCGCACTATTGTGAAACGGCAGCATTAAAGGGCCATTCTTAAAGCATACTTGTGGTTGTATCTTTGAGTCGAGATAGAAAAAATAAAGCAGCATAATTATTCAACCGGACTTACATGGTCTGTGAAAAAGGTACGGGCTTCATTGGTCGTGGGCAGTAAGACTGAGGGAAAAACAAATGTCAAAAATAATTTTTGTCCTTGTGTATTTCGTACCATTGCTTTATTATGTAAAGTACATCTCGAAAATGAAATAAATTAAACAGCTTCCAAGCCAGGTGGGGCTTCCCTCACTCCTGATATGTTGCGTCCTGAACTATATTTAACCATGGTTGAAAGCTAACCTATGCTTGCATGTACGTGTACATGTAATTGCATGTCAAGAGTCGTCAGGAATCTTCAGGTTAGGGAACCAATTCCAGACCGGGCACAGCCAGAACAATTCCGAATATGTTTGACGTCAACAGACCACTTGCAGCTGACAACTTGTCGATAGTTCCTCAACATGGCAAAAAACCACTGAAAGCGCGAAGTGCAGACCCACTATATCATGTATGAGTATTGATCGACCCTAAATATACATAACACTATACTGAGGAGCTGAACTATCCTCGGCAACGTCTCCAGTTCTCAAAGCTTTGCCGCTTCAGCTTGTCAGTCCTCTTTCCGTGCTGTTTTTCTGACTTAAGCATGCAGCTTTTAGGCTGCACCAGCTCAGTTACATCAGCACTGGTCCTTTTCCTACTCCATGAGAACCAACTTCCAGTCATTACGGCTTGCCTTTGCGCCGTTTATTTATTTTCCAAAATCACGGGCCATTCCTCGGACAAAACAGAGAGGAAGTCATGGTTTGAAAACTGTCCAGCGGCCGTGGCTAATTTCAATAGACATGCGTGCTACTCCAAGCCACAGCCAGTTGATTTGGACCTAAATGCAGCCTTAACATGTACCACTTGCTGGCACCAGAGAAAATCTTGGATTGAGGTGAGGTGGTCTTAAAAAGCTCTGCTCCATCCTTGCAATCTGACTCTTTGAGGACAAACCAGCCGCAACACCAACTGCATGATGACCTTGCTAAAACCTGGGACACCTGGATGCGATATTCATGGTACTTGCTATTTGGTTAACATGCAGGGCTGAGCAGTTAGCACACTTACACTGGAGGAACGGCAAACTACAAACAAGGTAGTTTACATGAATTAAGTTTAAGCCATGCAACGGCACTACACATGTACATGGTACATGTATTGTAAGTGGTAGTCAAAGAAAAGACACCAATCTCAAGATTTTAATCTTATGGCATGATTTTTTTGAAGATAGGTTTTTGTGAGTCACTGTGTTGCTTGGGCACTTTCATTCTGATGGCCAACCCCGGATGTAGTGATTTCAAAGAACTTTGCTACAGGTACTGAGGTCATTGCGACATTCCCATCCTCGTGCGTGATTATTTGGTCACTTTGATCAGCATCAACCTCTTCAACAATCTCTGAACTTTGAATCAAATGATACTGCTGTGCTGCATGGACAATCGCCGGAATGCCAGTAAGAGTTTGCCCTTGATGGGTGACCTTCAATCCCATCTGCGCCCTGTGGATGATGTCTTGGACTGTGTTCAGGACGGTGTTCTCCCCCGCATGCGACACCATGCCCTCCATCTCCAACGAGTCAAGGACTAGTGTCTTCCTGAGGTGTTTCTCACTCATGTGCCGCGTCAGCGCATGCTTGTGCTTGTATGACTTCCCGCAACCACTGCACTGGTAGAGTTTTAAGGTGGAGTGTTTGCGGTAGTGCACACTCAGCTCACTCTTGCGCTTGCCCACCCAGCTGCACTGGTCGCACTTGTAGGTCATCTTGTCCCGAGGGATGTGCACGAGTTGGTGGGAGTACAGCTGCATCTTCGTCTTGCCCACGTAGTTGCACTTCTCGCAAGGGTAGGTGCCCTCCTCGTGGGTCCCCCGGTGGACGTTGAGAATGATCTCCGTCTTGAAGTCCTTGCCGCAGACTTCGCAGATGAACATGCGGGTGTCCGTGTGGGACTCAATGTGCCGCTTCAGGTAGTACTTGTTCTTGGTCTGGTGCGGGCACTGAGGACACTGCAGCCACTCCCGTGAGTCTTCGGCATGGTGGGCTTCAAAGTGGGTCTTAAGACTCGACCGCCACCTGCTTTTGAATTTGCACTGGTCGCAGTAGAAGAAACGGTCCTGATGCTTCTTGCGGTGCCGGCGCAGTGATCCGGGGGTTTTGAATCCTTTCGAGCAGAAGTCACATTTGTACAGGCGAATCTCACTGTGCGTTGCCATGTGCTCCCTCAGTCCCCGCTTCTCCTTGCACTCTTTACCACATTGATCGCAGGTGAACATCTTGGGCCCCTTGGGCTTCTTCTGCTTCAAGGCCGGGCAGCGATTGTTCCGGCGGTGCTTCTTCACACCCTTAATGGTCGTGAACCCCTTTCTGCATGATGCGCAGCCGTACCTCTTCTCTCGTCGCTGCCTGTGGCTGTGCAGGTGTATCCTGAGACTGGCTGCACTGATCCCTGTGTAGTCACAACTGGGACAGGGGAATTCCTTACTGGTAATCGGCACCCCAATGCACCTCTGCAAATGCGAGTGCCTCTTCAAGGCATCTCTTGTTCCAAATGTCATCAAGCACTTTGGACACTGCAACTTTCTTTGAGAGACCCTGGGAGCCTGCTCTGATCCTTTGAGGTCATCTTGTTGCTCATCTGGTTCATCAACGCCCTCTGATTTGTCTTCCTCATTTTCCTTCTCATAAACTACATCCTTATCATCATCATCCTCAGCACCAGGATTGCCCTCAACTCCTGAGCCTCTCTCGGATGGAGAAACTAAAACGTAATCCTTGAACTCTCTTGGTTTGCGATCTGCACTCCGCCTGAGCCCTGGTCTCAGTGAAATCCGACATGGACCCGCTGAATGGCTTTTTCCACTGCCGATGGACTCTTCTGATTGAGACACAGCCAACTGCCTGCTGTTATTTCCCACTCCCTTGGGGGCAGGGGTCACGGACGGAACAGCGGTAATGGAAGGGAGAGACTTTGGGCGGCCTCGCCCTCTCTTGTTTTTGGCACACACCACAGCATTTGTCCCTGTGGTGGCTTGCGGAAGCTGACGAACAGATGTGGGCTGGAGCATTCCAGCAGGTGCTGTCTGTACAGAAACAAACGGTAAGAAGACAGCATTGTTTCCGACAGAAACTGGCCCAGTAATGATCCTCTGTGGTCCTCTAGTTGATTGGTTCTGCAAAGTGGATTGCTGAGCTGGTATGGTTATGACCGCACTCTGTGAAAAAAACAAATAAAATTTTCAAAATGACGTGCTAATCAACTGAAAACTGACTTCTTAAGAACAGTCCTACTAGTCTTTGATGTCGTCAGTTCTTTAAAGGTTGACAATTGAATACCTCATTGAAAGAAGGGCCCAACTCCAAGAAAACCTTGTTTGAGTTCAAAAGAAAAAAACTGAATATTTTTGAAGGAGTTGCGAAGGAGATTAATTAACTCTCATGCATGTAGGCCAAAATGGTGAAGTAGGGCCTTTCTTTTAATGAGGTATTCAATTGTCAATTACATGTAAATATAAATTAAAAAACAAACGCATTTGAATTTTGCATTTTTAGCACTCAGTGTTGTACAAGATCCCTTTATCTTAAGATCTCTTTAGAACATCACAAGACACCTTCAGGCCATCACAGGACCCTACAAGACCATTAAAAGACAAACACAAGACCTCCACTCGGAATTCAAGTCATAGGCTTTGATATACCAATGAGCTGCAACAAAATAATTCTTTGTCACAATGCACTCTGTTACTTGTGACCGGTCTTGTGATTGATTCTCTTTCTGGTCTTATGACTGGTCTTGTAAATGATTCTCTCTGGTCTTGTGACCGGTCTTGTAATTGATTCTCTTTCTGGTCTTGTGATAGTCTCAAGTACAACAATGCACTGTTGTAGTTTCTTAAGATTTAAAGACCACTCATTTTTGAAATCCAATTTGCCCTATTTGAGACGATCAGTGGCCAGTCGCTGTGAGGGCTACCAGAAAAACACCAGAGAGAGAAAAGGCGGATGAGAAATAGGAAGCAGGAAGGCATATTCATTGTGAAAAATGCTTATTCACATAACAGCTAAACTGGGATACATGTGTGCTGTAGACAACTGGAGTATTGAGTGCCAAAGTGTGCCGTCATTTTGAACCAGGAAGTGCAGTACAAACGAATGGAGTACGCACACAAGTTGGTTCAAGCGCTGTTTCTCGCACTTATGCCTTTTACACACACTCCTACCTATGTGCATGATGCATTCACTGTGGTACTCTATCCGGTTTGTACGCGTGACGTCACTTCAATTTAAACCATGCCATCTTCACATCGAGCTACATGGAACCGGGGAACCGGAAGGTAACACGCAACTTGAGTGCTCATCCAATAGAAGCTTGCAATCAGTGGTGCATGCGTGTGTATGACAAAGTCATTAACGAGCCGGAGAGGATGAGGTAAAAGAGGACCTCTTCAAAGCAGTTCATAGAAAGAAACTGACAGAGTACATCTTAAGATTTGCCTTGGAAATTGTGAGGGTATGCAGATGTGAATGAATGGAGGAGCAGGTGGTAAGTCTAGAGGAACGATTGTGAGGAACAACGAGAGAAAGTCTACTCGAGCACTCCTGGAACAGTGACAGAAGATGCCAAGCAAAGGCAAACACTAGCTATATGTGAGAGGGGTTCCAGGGAAGCTGCAATAATGCAAGGGCAGTCTGGTCTAAGGACACTTGTTTGCTAACGCACCTGCTTTGGGGTGACAGTGGGAGTTCCATCAGGCTTTCTCTGGTTTCCAACGATCAGTTCTCTCTCTATCATCTCCTCTAAGTCACCTTGAGTTAGAGCACTCTTTTTGCTGTCATCAGTGGCGGGGGATGGAGTACTGTCGTTATCTGCCACCGTCTCCCATTCTCCAGCATGTTTTTCCTTTTTCCAACAAACAAGTAAGAGGTCTGAATGCTCAATGTGGTAGTATGAACATTAATGTAATACCAGCCCAACGTGTAAGTTGAGCTTTAATGCACAAGTTCAAAGGGTACTCTTGAAAATGTACGTATTTTGAATATCAGCGAATGAATTTCTTAAGAGACATTCTCAGAACTTACTACAGTGACGGCTCTGATGATTTAGAGAATTTATGATTCTGACTTCAGTATCACAAACTTTAACATCTTCTGTACTTGAATACTTTTCAGGTTTTTATAAATAAAGTAGATGTGGTAGTTCATCAGCAACATGCACTTAAAAATGAATGGTTACAAACAATTGGCACAATCTCAGAAATTATCACTTAACACGTCCCTTTAAAAATGCCGGTAGACTTTCAACCACAACTGTACGTTTCATCAATTCCTTCAAAAATAAAAGGACATTTAGGAACATGGCAACATGGTGCATACCTCGAGATGCTCGGCGATCGCTGCTTTTCGTGTGGAGTTAAAACTGAAGCACAGCTTACACTGAAACACTTCAATGTGAAAGACGGACAAACACTGTCTGGCTCTGCTCCAGTCTGCATCTTCATTAGGGGTATCCTCTAGGTTGGCTTTCACCCTCAGCTCATCCTGCAAATTGAGACCACCCAACGGAGTCACTAAGGGATCCCAGGGGACGGGGGGATCTACCCAAATAAAGGTAAAACTTTTGTGTGTTTTTAATTAAATAAGAATACATCGGTTTTTTTAACTTTTATGCATATTTTTCTTTCCAAAGTTACGAGCCCTCACTTATAGATGTTCGTCAAATAAGCTTGATGAAAAAGGTGTACATTGTTGAATAGCGACTGTAGAAATCTGCACCCATGATAAGGACAATTAGCAGCACATAAAGGCCTTATCACGGGTGCAGATTTCTACAATCACTATTCAACAATGTACACCTTTTTCATCCAAAAATTTAGCCTCACATCTAAGAAAGCCGTAGAACAATCCTCAATTTTCAATCCCCCCTTTGAGTTCTGGATCTATCTTCAGAGTCGGCAACGGTCTGTGAAGCAAACCCCCCAGTTTCCATCACTTTGAATATACAACATTTTCTATCTTCAGACTTTTTTCAGAGTAATTTAAACCCTTGTTGCCATGGAAAACATCCCATATCAACAGCGATGCAAAGTTATTCGCTGATGTATGGCCTTCATGTGCTGCCAATTGTCCTTCCTTATCATGGGTGCAGATTTCTACTATTACTATTCAACAATATACACCCTTTTTTATCAAGTGTCTTTGATGAACATCTAATCCACATTGCCACATTTGAATAAATCTTTCTCCACAAAATGTTTGCAGGAAAGATTAGAGCTGCAGGAAAGATTAGAAATATTCTGCAGTTCAAATGTACATCCATACATATACCTGTAATTACATGTATAAATGACTGGATTGAGCAGTTTTCACTAATTAAAAAATTGGGAAGTTTGTGCTAAAAATGGAACAATGGAGAAACGGATGCAGAATTTCAGCACCAAAAAAAAAAAACACATCTGAAATCAGACAACAACGTTGACCTATAGACATGTTAGACAAAGGCCTAACACAAAAAATCTGCAGTTCCGTTTTAACAACTTTACACTTTTCAAATTGCTCAGACGACGCATGAAGCTTACTTGAGGTTCGTTTTTGTCTTCATCTGCCTCATCTGTCATGTCTAGTCCTACGCTGACCTCATCCATGTCATCATCTACTCCTTCCACCATGTCCATGCCTCCAGAAGTTGATTGAGGTTGCTGTGAACCAGTTGGCTTAGCGCTGGGACTGTTGTCTTGTTCCAATGCCCCATCAGCCATTACATTTGCCATTCTTGCACATTTGTGACTGAGAAGTGAGATTTACATTGCTGGACAGTCACACAACCATGATAACATACCTGTAACACTGGGAGGAAGTGATGCAAAATAATTACTAATTAGGCCTAGGCCTATATATAGCCCTACAAATAGAGCTGTAGTGGCTCTCTTTTACAACTTGTCTCTTATCTGTCGCCACCACAGCCCTACTTCAAGGCATGTCTTAGATGTCTGAAATCCAAACTGTAGGATTATCACAAACTTTGCATCCTAATATCTTCTGAAATGAGAAAGACTCAACAATTTTACTTACACTCGCATATTTCTCAGAGTTTGGACCTTTCATAAGAGCTTCCTAAAGCTTTCCAAACTCGTACAATTTCTGATGTATGGCGCCTTGAAAAACCTGGCCTGTGGTATTACATGCTGACCACGGGCAGTGCCATTTTGAAAAAGGAAGGCAGCACTTCATTCGTCGGAAATCAGGGCACCCGAAAGGTGCCGCAGATGCAAACTTCACGTTGGCACAGTACTGCTTAGTAATAAGTTGCGCGCAATCTTTGCTAATGTACAGTCTGCCCACAGCACATGTGGGGAGCATGATACAGTTACATGCATATTATTGTTATTCAAATTCAATTTCACCGGTTCCTTGTTCGTCTGTCACGCAAGGTATGACAGGGAACCAGTTTTGTATGGTACAATGTATAGTACTAGTATACCAGAGCACCTGTCGGGTCAAGAAGTGCTGCTTTCCTTTTTCAAAATGGCACCGCCTGTGGTCAGCATGTAACACTACAGGCCGGTTTTTTCAAGGCGCCATACATTGGAAAATAGCCAAGTACACGGTTTTGGAAAGTTTTAGGGTGCTCATATAAAAGTCCAAACTCTGAGGAAAACGCCAGTGTAAATGTAAGTAAAATTGTCGAGTCATTCTCATTTCAGAAGATAATAAGATTCAAAGTTTGTGACAATCCTGCAGTTTGGATTTCAAGCATTTAAGACATGGCTTGAAGTAGGGCTGTGATGGCGACAGAAAAGAGACAGATTGTAAAAGAGAGCCACTACAGCCTTAGCCCCACTAGTGTGGCACGGATCACTCCCGATCCATCCTTAGCCACACATCCGTATACGCAATTTCCTGTCGGCGTACTGAACATTTTTGGCGCACCCACTTATAATCGTGGGCGCAATTTCTTTTGCATATGAACATGATTCTTGACCTTTCCGTTTTCTAAATACCATTTATTGAATGATTTCACTCACGTTATCCAGGTATTTTCCGGTCTTTTTTCCTTTATCCATTCAATCATCTCATCATTCATCGTCTCAATGGCCGTTCCATGTCAAGACATCTAAACTGCTGCCAAAGTTTTGGAAGAGTCCATTGGAACATGTAGTATCTTATTGCTCAGTCCGTTTATTACATGTCTTGA